ATGTATTGTAACTAAAGTAAATCGATATGTGTGTTGCATCAAAATAGTTTGGCATTTAAAGCTCACAAGTTCTTTATGTTTACTCTCTGTTCCTGTGATTTTAGCACATCAGAAAATCCCGGAGAAAACAATGAGTATTATTGGAGAAAACAATATACTACTACCTACGTTTCAGGTTATAAGACTTTCTAGCATTGCACATATTCATATAGATGTTAATGAATCTAGGCACATATATATGTCTAAATTCATTAACATATACTCCCTCCTTCCAAAAATCTGAGTCATATTTCTTTTTACAGCAAGATAAGAAGCAATTAATTCATTTACCAATGATAAAACCAATGAACATGTAACCAATAAGTATTAAAATGGTTTCTTGGGTTTCTATCAACAATTTAATTTAGCATATAATGGCTATAAATAGGACTTAGACTTTTGGAAAACCAAATAATAAAATAGGTCTCAGAATTTTGGAATGAGAGAGTATATGAATATGGGCAATATGAAAGTCTTATAATATGAAACGGATAAAGTATGTACTATGATGGCTGCCATCTACTATCCTTACTTTGCTGAGTATATGCTAGTTTTTTTTTTTACATTATATGCTACTCCCTCCATCCTATGATATGAATTTTGTTAGGATGTGACACTCCCTGTTTAGATTCGTAGTACTAGTATGTGTTACATCCCACCAGAATCACTTATATTATGAGACGGAGTGAGTAGTTTGCTGAAACGCAAGAACATACTCTCTTCATCTCTCCCTTCCAAAATACTGTAACCGGATCTTCATCCTTTCGTCCTACAATACAGTAACCGGATAGAGTAAAATAAAGTGATTATCTCCTCGGCAAAATCTAAAAATTAGGAGGGTCCAATCATCCAATTAAATCCAGTGGCTCATCCATTCTTCATTTATATTTAAAAGTGATGATACATTGAACCATAGAAATGGGAAATGGCCGTGCTGCAGAAGATGAGGTCGGATCAAATGCGGGACCGGGTTGTTGAAGAACGGACAAGGAAGATGTCGCCGTCCTTTTGATATGTGTTTATTGATAAGCCGGTCAGTTCATCCGTACAGTATTTGGTTTTCTTTTCTGTGTGCTGGGCGAACGGCTTTTGCCAGCAGCTTGTGCATCGTAACCATTTTCTGTGGGCTGCTTCACGCCTGCTAATTATTGCTGACAAAGGAATTTGTTCCTTTTTGTTCGGTAAGGCAACCCACCAAAAAGAATAAAAGATGATGAAATGGTAGGTAGATAAATTAATCCTTAACTCCGCTAAAGATTAAAAGATGATGTAATGGTAGGTAGATAATTAAGCCTTCACATTATAGATTCTCATTGATTCGCTTATGCGCTGAAATTAAATTTTACAACCTTTGAATTTGATTTCTTTTTTTTATCATAGTTTATTTTACAACATTTCCTTTTAAGTTGCTAAGAATACATATACTCACAAATAATTTTTTTGTACTCTGATCTGATTGATTGAGTTCTGTTGATAGGGTTTGATGCCTCTCAAGTTTCAATTTGCTGATGGATGTACCGCTGCGGTATTTCTCCTGCTGTGTGCGGACGAGTGGATGACTGGCAGCAGCGTGGGTTGCGCCACGTGAGCTGTGCAAATTGCTGTGTGGTTGTGCCACACATGAGTACTTTTCCTCCGTCACATTAAAACCCGACTTAGAATTAGGATAAGAAATAATATAGTATAATAAATATGGACATAATTATTATGTTTATATTCGTTGTACTAAATAATATCTCATCATAATTCTAGGTCAGGTTTTTTTGACGGAAAATTTTCAAACGTACCGATATCATTTTTAATTTTTTTTAAGAAATTACATTATTTTTACTGTAAAATTTAGTTTTTTTAAAAAAATATGTCAATACTATATTGAATGACATTTCCTGAAAAATTAATACAAAATGATATTATTTCCAAATGTCTTCCAGTTGTGCGATTTGCTCGGGGTTCAGCTAGCAAGGACCTAAAACTCTCTGACATGTCGATGACAAAATTGCTGGGGGCGGCGCGAATCGCAATCGGCGCCGGTGTCACCGTATCCATCCGTTGAAGTCTATGGTTATCATGAGAGAATGAGCCGTTTACTTCCCTCCAAAGTTGAAAGTTTGGGTTAAAATTAGTATGATATAACTGAAAAATTGAAAAATTATATATGTATAACATATTGATGTGATGAAAAAAGTTAGAAGTTTAGATCTAAATACAGCCGAAGACCCAAATTCGCACCAAGAATGTCTCTGCATCCCGTCCCGTTTGATTCCGCCGAAGCGTGCTGCATGCCGCGTTCCGCTGCATCTAAAGGCCTACGATGAGGTAGCGTACGTGTGCCGCATGCACGCGTCCTAGCCTCGTACAGCCAAGAGGGATGGGTGTCCATCGCGCGGGACCAATGTTTGAGCGCATCCCAAAATATGTATTGCTTTTTTTTTCTAATCTTTTCGATGAATTGGCATGTCTGTATTTTTTTTTCTAAACTTTGATTTAATTGATAAGATGCTAAATTTGTGATTTCATCTTATCGACCTATATTTTTACAATTTTCACTAAAATAGTATTCTTTTTTTAAAAAAAATTCTAGAGTACGCAGTGTCACAGTGAGACATGTGACAGTGATCGGGCCGCCACCAAATAGAAAAGGTGAACTAATCCTAAAGCACTTAGTGGGCAGTGATCCAACCCCCAACTTGACCAGTGTCGAGCACAAAAGATGCAGGAATCGTAATGAATCCGCGGGACCACGGCCGGCATGGACCCATCCACAGCTAGCTAAGAGCAAGTTCAATACTGTAGCCAATTACTAGCTCCAAATCATTTATAACCAATGTAATAGCCAATTCGTATAATAATCAATTATTATACTATTAATACCTGGTCCTACCTGTCATACACACATTATGTCTTAGAGTCCGTACTGTAGCTGGCTACAAATATGTAGCCCGCTACTATTCTCTCTCTTTCTTTATCTTTTTAAAATATGTTTATAGCTGGCTTACAGCATGCTACTGCACCTTCTCTAAAAGCAAGTTTAATAGTATAGCCAACTACTGGCTCTAATTTATCATTAGCCAATTTAATAGCTCATTCATATAATAGTTACATATTATACTATTAATACCTGGTATCACTTATCATACACACAGTGGGTCTTAGAGTCCATACTACAGCTGGCTACAAATATGTAGTCCGTTGCTCTTCTCTCTCTTTATTTACCTTCTTAAAATATGTTTACAGCTAACTTATATGTTTACTACTGTACCTGCTCTAAACACTACACCACCGGCTCGCCACTCCCGCAATTCGACGAGATATTTCCCCCCATTCCACCCAACACCAACAGCGTCAGCCTCAATCATGGAGAGATTTCACCGAGAAAACACCGGAGCAAATCCCGCATTTCGAAGCTCGGTTAAAACGTCGGCGTCCAGGACTCGGGTGATCGGTCCACCTGTTCCCTCCTCCCGTTCGCCGGCCGGCCGGGCCAGAGGCCAACGGCGCACCGCGACGGCGACGCCTCTTTTGTTTACGTGCGGCCGTGACACCGACCGCTCGCCGCCGCATCAGCACCATTGCTTTCGTTTTTAGATATAACTCATCAGCAAATTGCTTTGCTGTTTCTTTGCTTCCTCTCTATAAAGGCTTGATTGGCACAGCTCCAGCTCTAGCTCCACCTTTTTTGGAGCTGGAGTTCAGCCAAACAGTTTCAGCTTCACTAAAACTGGGAGTGGAGTTGGTGGAGCTCTCTCACAAAATGTACTAAGTTGTAGAGCTGGGTTTAGGCAGCTCCACAACTCCACTCCAGACTTAACTTCTGGAGTTAAATTTAAGAGTTAGAGCTGTACCAGATAGACCCTAATTGTCGTTGCTCCATTGCAATTATTGTCGTTGCTAGTAGAGTAGTAGTACTAGCAGCTCGGTCCAATTTTGTCATTGCAATTATTGTTATCACCAGTACTGGTATTATAGGTGCACCCCTGGTACTTTCTTCGTTTCAAAGTAGGAGTAAAATAATTTAAAATATGATGAAACTTTACATTCGTTTTACTATGCTACTCACTCCGTACTCGTAAAGAAAGTCGTTTTGGATAACGACACGGTCTTCAAAACACAATTTTGACTTCTTGTTTCTATAAAAATATTTATTGAAAAGTGATATATGTATATTTTTATGAAAGCATTTTTCAAGACAAATCTATTCATATAATTTTTATATTTTTAAACTCAACAATTTGAGAGTTATTCATTATTTATATTCCTAAAGTTTACTTAAGCATTGTCCTAAACGATTTTCTTAATGATTAGGGGGAGTATGTCATAAGATAGGAGTATATTTTAGATTGATTTATTTTACCCTCGTGCTAGCAGCTCGGTTTGTGTGTACGTACGTGCGGCATCGGCGAATCGATTTGAGTTTCTTTTTCTACTGTGCACGAGCTTAGCGAGGGTGGTCGGTGATCTGCTCGGGCTGTGCCTACGTGAGAAGTTGTGAAGTATATTGCCTGAAACGTGAGGCCCGCACGCTGGAATGTTTCTTGTGTTTCAAAACTGTGCATATGGTACGAGATGGTGGTCTGTGTTGACTGCTCGTGTGCTCACTTGCTGGATAATACTACTATTATCTGCCTTCTTTTCAAGAGGATGACATTCTAAAATTCGTGCCAACAACTTTGGTAAATTTTGACCAGTAACAATATATTTAAGACTCTCAATCTTTGTCATGTGAAAATCACATCATCAATAAGACTACAAACAGTAAAAACACGGTTATTCTTACACCCTTCGTTTTAAAATAGATTTTTTTTGTTTATATTTTTGTTACTGGGATGCCTTCCCTCTCTACAGTACCACTACTGGAGTACTAGTCCACTTGACTACTTGTCCATATCCACCTTGATTTTCGCTGAAAACTCGTGATTTTTCTCCCTAATCTGCACTGAAATTGAAGTAAGAAATCTTCTGAGAAAAAGAGCAGACAGGGGCTGAGCGGATAAGACCGGAGGCACATGACTTCACCGCACCGCGCCAGAGAGGGGAGGTGTCACTTTAATTAGAGCTCATCACCACGCCTCTCGCCTCACATCATACCAAGTGTCCTCCTTCCTCCTCATCCTCCCCAACCACTGCATCCGGGTCGGCGTCCTCCTCCTCCTCCTCCTCCTCGCAGGTAAAGCAGCATCCAAGCATCCTTTCCAATCCATGCTCAGAGTTGGAAGTAGAGCTGCTGCTGATGATGGTGTGTGGATCGGTGCTGGTTGGTTTCTCGTTCTTGCTTGAGTGTGAGATGTGATGTTGATGTGCGTGTGTGTGGAGTCTGGACTGGAAGGTTTCTTGAGTTCAGAGTGCAGATCAGAGAATCGTACTTTTGCTTTTTACAGTGTGTTCTTGGTTTGCCCACACGATCTGTTCATCTTTTGTTTCTTTTGTTTTGCCTTTCATGAACAAACGACCACAGCTCTGCTTGCCTGCTACTGTCCTTCTCAGTTTGGCAAATGAAAGGATATTTTTTTTAGGGAAAGAAAGCGAAAATTACTAGTGCTAGAAAGCAGTGGCAAGTGAGAATAACACTTCTGCTTGATTGATTAGGTTAGGAGTTTATAGATAGTTCTTCCCTCTTGGTACTGTCAGTCTGTCACTGGTGTGTAAGTAGAGTGACAGTGTTGATGTTCTTCCTTGAGATAAACGGCGATATCCTTTTATCACTTCCTGAGAGAGCACGGCACGCTTTACTCCCTTTTATTCTGGAAATATTGTTCTCTTCCATGGGTTACAGTTTGTGTTTCGATACAGCTTTGCTTGCCATGATTTTTTTTCTGGCCACTTTTTTAGTTAGAGAAGCTAAAGAACTTACTTTTGGTTTCGGGTTAGGCGTGCCGTAGATTCATATGCAATTCATGGTCCGCTTGTTTCTTTTGATTATTGAGCTTGAGTGATTCGGTAACATCACAACAGTACACCCACATATCATGGACACATCAAGTGCGTGTAGTTTATTTAGTATTTAGTGTTTTGAGTGGAGACGGCAATAGCTGGATTCTGTATTTGGTGGTGACTCCTTATTGGTTGATTGTGACCTAAATAAATATTATTGATTTGCTAACGAATGCTGGCAAACCTTTGCCCGTTTTTTCGCCTTGCACTTTCATGAACTAAATGATTCTTGGAATCTAGGAGTATTAATTGGACAGACTCTTGGATTCTACTCTAGATCAATAAGGTTGACTACATTGATAGGGGATTCCCTGTAGAATACTGTGCATCAAAATGAATACCGATTAATAGTCAATATGTAGACATGACCATTTCGCTGGTCATTCAACACATTTTGGTGCGTACATTGCTTTGTTCTAGCAGTATTTTTGCTGACCAGTGTACAAAATGGTAGGCTAGAGCTATAATGCTTTACATCCTTTTCATTGCATCAGCGCAGTGGAAATTAACTTCCACTTGACATAATGCTCCCAGGCCCCATCAGGATTGGTGTGGGGTTGTTTATTTATGTGGAATAGTTTGAGAACTATATTGTTTTTTAAGTAATTCCACTTGTACAGACTTTCTTGTTGCTTTCTTACCAGTCCTTTATACTGAAACTGATTGTCCGGTCATTCTAGCAGTCACCTGCATTACAACGGAAATTGATTTGCAACAACTCTGTTTCGGACAAGCAAAAAAAAAAATCCATGGGAAGAGGAGCCCTTTTTTCGTTTGAATTATTCCAAATACCAACTTATTTACTTGAAATCCAAAAAATCAGGAAGAAAAAAGAGAGAGTAGCAAACAGTTTATTACACGAATGTCCAGTCTTTTCTTGCTGCTTTTTCTGGTGCTTTTTTATTGATCAACTGCCATGATATAATTAGTAACTAGTCTCTTTGCCTTCAACAACAGCATCCGGACTTCCAGAGTTCTAGCCAGGCACATGACTTTGTTGGAGTCAAGTAATTGGTCATACCTTAATTTAGATTGATGAACTTTCGGTTGCTTTTGGTTCTTCTCTGTGTTGTATTTGAGATAATTTTGCAGTATTGTTCAAATTTTAAACTCTTAAGTCATCCAAGACATCTTTATTCTCACGAGTTCTTTGCTATCTGTAGTTCTATATACTCTTTTATCATTAGCCAAAAAAGAAGTGAAATAATAAGAAGTTATAAGTCAGATATTTTCTTTGTTCAAAATGGAGTAATCATGTCTTTTGATATGTTTGATCTGACACAGAATGCAACGGGCAATTCAAGCTATCGGGTCACATGGCAGTCTCCTCAAGTCTGCTGTTCTGCGACACATCAGTGCTCCAAAACCATCTATTTTACCTGCTGTATATTCACGCTCCATGTCAGTTTCATCTGCTCAAATAGAGGAGAGTGGATTTGAGACTGCCACTGTGGCAGATATTTTGAAGTCTAAGGGGAAGAGTGCTGATGGATCTTGGCTCTGGTGCACTACTGATGACTCTGTCTATGATGCTGTCAAATCTGTATGTGTCTTCTCCTTCTCATATTACCTCTTAAGTGAACAGTTATGCTTCAACATGATAAAGTTTCTTCTATCAGATGACGCAACACAATGTTGGAGCTCTGGTGGTTGTTAAACCTGGACAGGATAAATCAATTGCTGGTATTGTTACTGAGAGAGGTAACAAGCCACCATGTGTATTTATTTTGTCTCTAGCCACTGGGTCTGTAATTCAAAAACACAATCATATGCTAGAAGACAGACTATTGCTTAATTCAGTTGTAAAAAAGAGATACTAGTGCATGAAGCTGGCTTTAGAAAAGAAAGAGTTTAAACAGTACATGCAAAGTTACATTGAAATGTTTGGACTAATAAAGAAGATAAAAAACAATCAATACATGGTCAGACAGACAGACACAGTGTTCATGTGAATGGTACCAACCCTTACGGTCAAAAACACAACAGAAAACCTTTACTTGTTTATAAACATGATTGGCTTAGAAAGTACTTGTGTTGCGTAACTAACACCTGAATCATGCTCTATGTTTCCAGATTACCTCAGGAAAATCATAGTGCAGGGACGATCTTCCAAGTCAACTAAAGTTGGAGACATCATGACTGAAGAGGTACACCCCTTGTTATGCTAATTTTCTTTTAGGCTGTATCCGTCGGTCATGGTGGTGGAAATACACCCTGAATCTGATTAGTACAGAGGCTAAGTCGTAAGCATGAAAAAGTTAGTCAGTTGACAAACTTGGTTGCCAAAACTACTAACATTCTATACTATGGTTTTAGTTTTAACAAAATATTAAAATGCGACCAGAGTATTGACTGTTCTAAAACGAACGTTCATTGACAAAACATCATTTCGACAGAACCAGCTGATCACGGTGAAGCCTGATACCAGAGTCCTGCAAGCAATGCAGCTGATGACAGGTAAAACATCTTTGATCTTTCTCCGATTCAGTACCTGAAACAGAAAGTTCAGATAGCAATTGCTAACACCGGTGTTGCCGATCTCCGTGTGCAGAGAAGCGCATCAGGCACATCCCGGTGATCGACGGCACGGGCATGGTTGGGATGGTCTCCATTGGAGACATTGTCCGCGCCGTGGTCAGCGAGCACCGGGAAGAGCTGAACCGGCTCAACGCCTACATCCAGGGTGGCTACTAGGACGCCGACGTCGACGTTGGTCACTCGCTCCTGCCATTGAGGCTGTGCCTGTCTGAAAAAGACTCCCTCTTCCAAATAACGCTCGCTCGGGATGATGACGAAATAGGCCGCGATTTTCCTGGAGAAATTGTTGCCGAATGTTTCTGCTTGTTCGCGTGTATTATATCAATCTGATGGTGGAAACGAACACCCAAATAAAATGAACCGTGTACACCGTCTTGTGCAGCAGCCTGCTGTTTGTGAATTGTGGCAGGTTGTTGTTGAGACGAGTCTTGATGTTTAATTAGATGGATTTGCCGCTGTAGTTTGGGAATCCTGGGCGTTTTCACAAGTCAGACGCTGAACATAAGCAAAGCCTCTGGCCATGTTTGGGGATTGTTTGTGGAGTTTTTAACGGCTGATGCTTCTTTTAGAATCTCCAGCTCTTCTAGTTCCTAAATAGTCGAGGTTCTTGCTCAGATTTAAAATTGATCTTGAAAATGAACTAGCATCCTGAAGCTGGAAAATCTAGCCTATTTATAGTCTCACCAGTCACCAGCTAGTTACTCACGACCTGTTTCCTTCTATTTCTCAGCACCTTGAGCTCTCAAACAGAGCCAGCAGGCTAGCTGAACGATCAAGTTATGAAGATCAAATGATGGCGCGTAAAAAAGTCATTAACGTATGATCAATTAAGTTTTTTTTATCTCAAGTTGATCAATTAAGTTTTTTTATCTCAAGTTGAAGAATTGAATCTATCTTATATTTTAAAGCAATTTCTATATAACCGTTTGGCAGTTTGATAAAGTGAAAATCAATGTAAAATCTGCATTTTATTCAAGTTAGAACCGAGGTAAAATCCGTGCTTCTCACCGTTGGTAGTTGTGCTGATACTCACGCGCTCACGGTCCAAGCTGAAGAGTTGAAACCTCTACTCGTCTGGTCGTCTTTAGCCAACAGGCGAAAGAAGATTCAGCGTGCTGCGTTGTGCACCGGTTCTAGTCGTCAAACCGCCTCCCATTTTTCCCGGTGCTTCCGGCGCTCGAGCAAGAGCAACACACGGAGACGCTGTCAACGCGTCTCGAGAGAAGTAAATTTCATTAGACTGGTCTCTCGTAAATTTCATTAGACTGGTCTCTCGGAGAACATTGAGCACACACAATGGTAAAAGTAAGGTACTTTCTATAAAACATATACATCCCAGCAATAGACTAAATTAATAGTAAATCGTCTCAATAGTATGTCTACATGGGTATCTATAGCTCTCTAATATATTGTCTCTTTTTTCTCTATATATTATCTCTAGGTTAGTAGATAACTTTGCTCTCTCTATTCATTTAATCTATTTCAAGTAAAACATATACATCCCAGCAATAGACTAGATTAATAGTAAACCGTCTCAATAGTATATCTATATGGGTATTTATAGCTCTCTAATCTATTGTCTCTTTTTTCTCTATATACTATTTCTAGGTTAGTAGATAACTTTGCTCTCTCTATTTATTTAATCTATTTTATCTCTTGTAGAGAGCGTGTAGATAATTATTGTGGTGGGTGCCCGTGTGTTCTTGACTGTCTCGAGTTGGATGGATCTCGCGATCACGTTATTCTGGGCAACAGCACGTCAGGTTGCGGCGCTGATGCGAGAAAAAGATCTCGGATGGACGCAATGGGGCCGGCAGTCCACGTTCGCGCGCATTGATTGTGTCTTCTGCTGCTGTCAGATTCAACTTGATCGCCTGGGATTTTAATGCCGCCGTAACACGGCCCTAATATCTCTCTCCCTGGACTGTCAAAGAAAAGCGGAAAAAGGGAACCGTAAGCTGTTCATCATGCCATTATCAAGGACACCGTAATGATGGATTTCGTAATTGCGACGCCATATGTTGCTTTCAATTGCAACTGAAAAAGCAGGAAGTTGTAACAGATCAAGAAAGTATACTAAAAAAATTTCTCATAAAATTGTTGTCATATGTTGTCATAGTACATGGGGCAATGCCTCGATGACAGGATGAATCGCTCCTCGTTGGAATAATCGAGGTAGCAAATTGCAAATTCGCAACCAATAATCTGTACAAATCCGCATTTGGGAGAAACCGGAACGAAAGAAAACAAAGAAAGAATCTGAATATGTTCTTCCGTTGCAATCTGCACGCTTCGTTTGCTCTTCTTCACAGCAAGAATCGGACGCATCAAGGCCGGTAGCTTTAGTACATTAGTACGCCGCGGCGGCGGCGGCGGCGGTGGCTACCGGCGGCCGGAGAGGCGGTTGAGCCAGGCGTTGCGGAGCTGGAGCTCGAGGGGGTCGCCGAAGCACTGCGCCCTGGCGAGGCAGAAGTGGGTGCAGAGCCCCGCCGGGGAGCGGACGCGGCAGGTGTCGAGCACGTAGCACGACGCGCACTCCATCCCGCGGGCCTGCACCACCAGGCCCCACACCTGCCGCGCCGCCTCGGCGGCGCCGGCGCCGGCGGACGCGCCGCCCTCCTCGACCGCCGCGGCGATCTGCTCGACCAGTATGATTCCGTCGGGACGCCGCATCCCGCCCGGGCCCCACCGCCGCCGCACGTCGGGCCAGCTCTCCGCCGACGCCGTCTCCCGCCGCACCGTCACGCGCCCCGCGCCTCCCCGCCCGCTGCCGCCGTCGTCGTCGTTGAACAGGTGCACCAGGAACGGCGCCTCCCCGATGTGCCGCACGATCTCTGCGATCGACTCCCTCATCCACCCCTCCACCCTCTCCTCCCCAACCTTCTCCACCACCTCCTCCTCCTCCCCACCAAACACGCCTCCGAAGAACCCCAACCCCCGCTCCTCCTCCCGCCGGAGCTGCAGCCCTCGGGGCACCTCCGCCACCGCCGCCGCGCGGAGCCGCACCGAAACCCGCCGCGGCGCGCTCACGAACGACGCCGGCATCCGCACCCTCGCCACCGACGACGTCGACGCCGCCGCGGGGCAGTACCCCCTCACGGGTGGTGCCGCCACCGCCGCCGCCGCCATCCGCCGATCGAACCGCCGCGAACGCCTAGACAAATCTCCGAGACAACGCCGGATTGGTGGTGGCGATGGCAACTAATCAACCAGAGCGAGAGCGCACGGGTTCGGTTCGCGGCGAGGCGCGGGTTGCGCCGGCGGCGAACGGGTGGTGCGCGTACAAATAGGTTTGATGAGAAAAGAGGATGGAGAAGGGGAAGCCTACACGAAAGAGGATTCGTAGCCGTAACGACTCGCGTGCGTGCGTGGCGTTCTACGTGGAGCAAATTTCTGGATCCCGTGCGGCGAGGGGGGCATCCGTTGCCGTCCGTGCGGGGGGATCGGAGGGATATGAGCGGTGGAGTCGCGTGTGCGGTGTTGCGTGCGGAGGAGGGAGCGTGGGTACGCGTCGGCGAGCGCGTCGAGGCACGCTCCGGCACGCGGCGGGCGGGAGGCGGGAAGGAGGTTTGCCTCGCGGGGGTGGGGTGCCACGTCGGATACGGACGCCAGGTCAGCACGCGGCGACACGTCGGACTCGGAGAGACCCGACCTTTTCTTTTTCTTTTTGATTTTTTTTTGGGGGGTTTGTTGACTGGTGACGGGTGGTGTGGGCCTGGGCCCTGGAGTGAATGTTTCGGACTTGGGAGTTGGCGTGGCCGACCGTGCGGGTCTCGTTTTGCTCGTGATGCTGGTGCGACCAAGTCGAGTAGCTTGGGTACACGGGGACGACGTGACGAGCGTGCGTGAAAAATCTAAAGACTCAATTCGATTTGTATCTGAAGAATTTGTATGAAGCGAACTGCGAAGAATGTTCGAGAAGCACAATATTTTCATACTTTCATGTGCATGAACATCTCCTAACATGACACTGAAAATTCATAGGGCTAGTTTGGATTACTATCTCTATTGAAACCTTACGTTTGCCACAAATTTAGCTTTGCTCGTGAACTTGTCACTTATGGGCATATTTTGCTTCAACCCAAATGAACATTTTTAACTTAAACCTACCAAAGTTGTGGAATTGCTCTAGCCTTGACAAGCTTTTACAAGATGGAGTAGGCTTTATTTTGCATTGTTATCAAATATATGTCAAAGAATTCGGTAATATTTTTTTAGTTGCAAATCAAACATGTGGCATATTTTTTGGCATGGTTAGATTGGGCTAAACATATCGTACAGAAGAACTAGATAAACGGCAAAGTAGTTGTAGGTTCACTCGGGTGTTTTTTTTATTGCACGGCAAACCCATATGCGTGCGCACTACTACGCACATAACACCACACTCAACCCCCCCCCCCCCCCACACACACACAAACAAATGCATTTCTCAACATATGCTCTAAGAGACGAAACCAACAATTCATCCCTGATATCACAACATTCCTGTTGAAAGCACATCTACGCATGGACAATATTCGTAGGCAACAGGATCAACCTTGGTGGGTGTAATTATGCACTCACGACTCCTCTGTCACGTTATTCCTAAAATTTGGGCAACGCTAAACACAAGTTTGGAAGTAACTAAAATCAAATAAACCACTTTGGCAAAAAAAAAATTGAAAGCACCATTCGTGGGCCACATAAGCCAAAGAAAAACCAAAATTTGAATTTTCGAATTTAATTTTAAGGTATTTTTAATGTAATTTCTTTTTAACGTTGGCTTTTAAGTTGCTGTCGAGGGAAGTCCCTCAATACCGGGAGGTCGTGAGACCCCCCTTTCGTGAGTTCGGCCGGGGGAAGAAGCTCGCCTCTTAGAAATCGCGTGTCCGCCCCTAAGGCTACTAGCTAGCTTGCACACAATCGGATTAAACAGGTTCGGACCGCTGTGGAGCGTAATACCCTACTCCTGTGTTTGAGATTATGTTTAAGAGTTACAAGGGTTCCTTAACTCCGGAGAGCTTTCTCCCCTTCTTCTCCTAGAGTTCAGGTTTTCTGGGAGTCGTCCTCTTGCTCGGTGGGCAAGGTCCTCCTTTTATAGTTCAAGGGGATACCACATGCACCGCCTCTACCTATCCTTCCCTGCGAGGGGGACCCACCTTACCTTGACCGGGCCACGATCCGTGCCTTCGCTCGGAAGCTAAGCAGCAGCCCATCCTTGAGTGGGACCCAGCGCCACCCCCCGCCTGACACGGGGGACAGCCCTGTCATTCCCTCACAAATGGATGAAGACTTGTGGTGGTCCATTTCTCATGGAGGGAACCCTGAATGACGCCCTGATGGGACGGGTCATACCTACTTCCACTCCGCCTGTTACAGAGGCGACGTGGGGGCACGGCCGCCCGTTCAATCGGATGGGCCGGTCACAGACTGGTCACGTTCGATTGATGTGGGTCAGCTAGGCGGCACCGCACGTCTGCCCTTACCGCATTAAATGCGACGAGGGACAGTTGGGGCGCTGCACATTGATGGTTGTTCAGCCTGGGCCCCCTTCCTGCTCCCTCCCCCCCCCCCGCCACATGGCAGTTGGGCGAGGGCCTCGGGGCGAGGCAGCAGGAGAGCCCGAGGGGCACGACGTGGCACCCCGAGGCCCCCCCAGCCGCTTCTGTGACTCGCGAGGCGCGGGAGTAGGGCCAGGCTGTAGAGCCACGCGGCTGGATGGAAAGGTAACTTTCCCCCACTTCACATACCCCGGGCCAATATCTCCGACAGTTGCTACGAACAAATATATAAAAGTTGTATCCATAAATTAATTTTTATTCCCTAATAAGCCGTTTTGTCTTATTAGGTAATATGGGCAGCCGATTAAAAAAACTCTGAATATTTTGGGTAATATTAACAATGTCTATGATTCAAACAAACCCTAAGTTTATATTTTTACCTTAAGCACGTTGCATAAGTAAAAAAGGAGCTTAGCATGTGTAGGAAACATTTTACAGTAATTGCTGTCCAAGAAAAAAAATCATTCACATACAAATTTTGGATGAATTGCTATGTGTGCTCATCTCCGGCTCAACGACGTGTACTTTGCATCACAACGTTTTATGTTGCATCAAACAGTGCAACTCACCACGCCACGTCATGCCCCCTACGCCACATACCTGGTCCCTCCCCGTGCGCGTGGGCCTAACCAGAAGGGCGACCCGAGGGGAAGCACACAGATCACGTGGAGCGTGTGCAACCACCAACCGACTTGGTAACATGGCTCCGACCGGAAGATCGAGCGTGTGGGCCCGGATGACAGGCCCAATATCAACACATGGGCCGAACTACAAGAGCCCAACAGATAAAGCCCTTTGGACTTCAACCGAATCGTTGGAACATAAAGGATGCGGCCCATTCGCCCATTTCTGCTTTATTCGAGGATCGTATCCGGTGCCCGCATCTCGAGGTGTATCGGCCGACCAGTGGCCAGTGCGAATCACACGGTTCGCCCTTGATCAGTGAACCAGCCGGCACTTTTCCTTCCTTTGGAAGCCACCACCTCCATCTCCATGGCCCATGGCATCACCGCGTCGGCGCTGCGGCCGGTGTAGACGATGTACGCGGACGCAAAGCCCAAAATATTAGACTTCTGTGGAGTCTCCGCAACATCAACTGCATTTGCCCTTCAATAGTCGAATCCCTTTCCCCTCGCCTCCACGAACAAGCGAAAGTAAACGCGACGGAGAAGAACCTTCCCCACGTTGGGTTGGATTGGTCAAGGCGGCAACGAACCGAAGGAAGGAAGGGAAGCATCTGGGCTACAGGTCCACGCGATCGATTGTTCGATCGATCTCGGATTGATCGCTTTGTGATTGTGATTAATCTCGCGGCGACATGGCGACGTCGTGGGCTGCGCCGCCGCCGGGGTACCCGTACGCGCAGGGTCAGGGCGGCGCCCAGCCGCCGCACCCGCCGCAGTCCACGGCCGTCGCCGTCACTCCGGTCAGCAACGGCGTGGGGAACCCCTACGTGATCGTCACCCCGGCCAGCGCGTCCCCCTCCACCTGCCAGTGTGCGTGTCGAGCTTCCTTTCTCTGATCTCTGCTTTTTTTTTTTTCCTGTGTTTGCACGCGCGAGCTAACGTCTCGTCTCGCTCCGGTGGCCGGCCGGCGGCGGCGACCGTGCAGCACTAAGGAAGGCGCTGGAGCGGTACGGCAGGAAGCTGGAGGACGGCACCCGCAAGGCCGCCGACACCACCGGCAACATCTGGCACCACCGTGCGCACCCACCGATCCCCTCTCTCCCAATCCGTTCGCGCGCGACGCGGGTGACTGATGCGTTGTGCGTGCAGTTCGGACGGCGCCGAACATGGCGGACGCGGCGGTGGCGAGGCTGGCGCAGGGGACGAAGGTGTACGCGGAGGGCGGCCACGACAGGGTGTTCACGCAGGCGTTCGGCGTCGTGCCGGGGGAGCAGCTGCGCAAGGCCTACGCGTGCTACCTCTCCACCTCCTCCGGCCCCGTCATCGGCACGCTCTACATCTCCACGGCCCGCCTCGCCTTCTGCAGTGACAGCCCCATATCCTACCACGCCCCCGCCGTCGCTGTCGCCGGCGCCGCCCCAGCTCACCCTCCTGAGGCCATCTACAAGGCAACTACATTTTTCATAGCTTCAGTTTAGTCAATTTTTCATCTATGGATGTCACCTGTTCGACGAATTGATCACCTGGAAGATTTTGATGATTTGCAGGTAGTGCTTCCCCTGAACCAAGTGAAATCGGTGAACCCATCCGCCAGCATGACGAACAGGGGCGAGAGGTACATCCAGATCATGACGACGGACAACCACGAGTTCTGGTTCATGGGGTTCGTCTCCTACGACAAGGCGCTCAAGAATCTCTACGAAGCCCTGCAGCGCCGTGCGTGATCGTCGCCCACGGCCACCGCAGCTAAGCTTCACTCTGATCCTAATATACATATCTGCCGATTTATATTCCATTGGTGAACTTGTAAGCTTCAGATCTTGCTCTGGAATAAGTGTGACACATCACTAAAACAAAATCTGATGCCGTGTGCCCGCGTGTATGATCTGTAATTCGCTCATCAGTGTAGAATGTGCTGAATTCACTTGTTATTGTAGATTGTGCTGAACTCACTATCCTTTTTATAATGTACTGAATTACCTGAACATAGATAAAACTGAGCATTAATCGCTAATCATTGTAGAACACTGATTATCTGAGCACACATAAAACTAGCTGAATTTCATGGCGCAGTTACTGGCTAGATGCTGATACATGTTCTCATTTGAAAATAGTCATGTCTGTTATACAACTCCTGTGCTTCCTCACATCAGTCTCTGCTCTAACATTTTACAGAGCTGTGACTCCCGAATTCCGCATACAAACCGCAACCTTGCAACAGCATAGAGAACCCGCTGTTTAATTTCCGCCAAAAATATACTGCAAGAACAAGGGAATATTACCAGTACAATATATGGCTCAGCTGAACCATATCGAGTAGCTAGCGTCTCACGATTGGCAACAACAATAGATAGGAAAAACTGTTGTTGGCGACGGCGCGTCGTCGGTGTTGTTCTTCTGTAGAGTTCAGCATGGGATATGGTTACTGGGTTTACGGCGGAGCTATACTTGGATATAGTCCGGCGAGCCGCCGGCGGCGGACGGCGCTAATGTGCTGTGTGTGTGTGTGGAACTATTGGTGCGGGTGGGCGATGGTCTGGTCGAAGGAGTCGACGCGGTTCTTGAGCATGGCGAGCTTGCCCTTGACGCTGAGGTCGATGACGTGGGACTCGCCGGGGCCGTAGCAGACGACGAAGCCGGCGATCAGCGACGGGTCGACGACGTTCTCGATGGTGAGGCTCGCGAACCCGGTGATCCGGCGCATCTTGCGGGCGATGAGCTCGGTCTGGCGCGCGTCGAGCTCCACGGCGGACGACACCACCACCCGCAGCGCGTGCAGCGGCGGCGGCGGCGGCGCGACGTCCGCGCCGCCGCCCTGGTCGGCCGCCACGGCAGCGTTCCTGTCCAGGAGCGACCGCAGGAAGTCGAGCGTCAGCGGCTGGAACGGCGCCAGCGCGGCGGCGGCGGCGGCGTCCGCCGGCTCGTCGTGCTCGACGCCGACGTAGCTGCTTGGCCGGCGCAGCGTCTGCGCCTGCCACCGCGGGGACTGCCCGGCGTGCGCCCGCCCCACGGCGGCGGCCGTGCTCTGCTGCGTCGACAGGCCGTCGAAGCGGACTGACGCCGGCATCAGCTGGCCGGTCTCCCTTGCCGCCGGGAACGCCGGGTGGCCGCCAGGGTTGATCGGCTGGTTCAAGATGTTCATCGCCCTGCATCAACCAACACCATATAGTCATTCACCAACCCATTGCTGCCTACAACTGACGTCAACTAACCAACTATACGAATTATAGTAGCACAAATTCCAACATCAAAGCTAAGCAACAACAATTGGATGCACGATTTCTCTCTAAGCCAAATAAATTGGATACAACAGATGAACAGCTGCTCTCACTATCCCTCACACGGTGAAAAAGAGAAGGGCAGGAGCATAATCACAGTAAAACCAAGTTCTAACCTGTCTCTGCGAGAGCTCAGCTCAGCTCAACCTCGGCTCGAATTGGGGGAGAAACCAACAAGAAGGGGAGTGTGTGTGAGGTGTATGTCAGGATGTTGTGATTTGTGAAGCGGAGAAGTACCACGGCTACGTATGTATCGTGGTTAGCTAGGTGAGGCGCGGAGAGGCCCAGTGCGGGGATAAGGTAGTAGCAGTAGGAGGAGGTAGAGAAGGGGGGAAGAGGGGAGGGGAGAGAATTTGGCGTGCACACGATGCGGCCGTGGCAGCCGCACACGCCCCATCCGGGAAAATCTGCGCGCCGCGCCGCGCCCAATCCCATGTGGTCACTCGCTCGCTCTCGATCTGGACCGGGCCCCCGCCCGGCGCGACGGGCGCGACGAGCCGTCACGTTTTCGCGCGGCCACGGTCGATTCTGCCGTCCCAGAATAATATCGCTCGTTCGATTCTGGGACGCGATTCGTAGCAGCCGCGGCCGTATTGTTTTTCACGGACGCGAGAGCGTCATGTATTCACGTGTCTACCACATGCTCATGACTCGCGCCGTGGAGCACACGAGTGGTTGTTGGATACTGTGGTCGGCAAACAATTGGCCACGACCTTTGTGTAGGCTATTTGCAGCCGCTTTGGTCAAGACACTGGTAACACGTGGTGTACGATGCAGGTTTGAGGCTTTGAGCTCAGCATTATCACGACTGGCTAATCCGCTAATGTGCTTTTAGCGCAAGATCGTTGCTAAAACGGGATCATGGTCTATTGATCTTCCATCTCTCCTTGTGCAAACGGTTTGCAACTTTTGCATCAGCTCATGATCTTCCATCTCTCCTGGGAGCTAGGATCAAGGCACTCTTCGAACTGAAGATGATCATCGGAAGCTGAGAGCCATCACTCCATCAGCCATGCCTAGCTGATGCGCACTGCTTGTGAGCCACCACGCAGCAAACAAAGCAGCCATAGGTTCTGTTGGGGAGCTTTAAATTCTAAGAAACAGTTGTTTAGTAACCAGCTTCTGAAAATCTAGAAAAGCTCTGAAACCCAGCTTCTAGCTTCTTAGTTCATTATTCAGAATATGTAACTACAGATTCTGAGAAGCTGTGAACTGTTTAGGGGCATAGACTACGGTTCGACTGCAAGGAGCGCTACCTTGCAGACAAACAAGCACTACACCTACAAAAGATCAGCCAGAGGATGATGACGACAGTTTTACTAAGCCAAAGTTGTCCAAAAGCACATGAGATGTTTTATGCTACTCAACGATTTAGGGGGTGTTTGGAAGAGGGGGGCTAAATCAAAACCATAAGTTACTTATGGTCAGCATTTTTTGCGTTCTCCTCCCGCGTGACGCACACCTACTGTTACCAGTGGTTTCATCTCGATAAAAAAGGTAGAGTACTTTACCACCAGCCAGTCACCAGCTGTGAGCCTGTGACATGGTTGGCTCTTTTGCTAGCTGCTGTCCCGAATTTTTCCCCTCTGTCGTCTTCGTCCGTCGGTGTCTCCTGCTGTCGTGTTCGTTCTTCAGATAAGTACGTTACGAACTTCCAAAGATGTGTGTTAGGCTGGGTCGGGCCGTGAGGAACCCCAACTAGTCTGGGCCTTTCTCAGGGCAAAATTTAAAGGAAAAAGTATACTTTGACTCCCTTAACTATCGCCCGAGTATGATTCATGTCCTCCAACCACAAAATCGGGTATATCGACTCCTCTAACCATTAAAACCGGTGCAAACAATACCCCTTGGTGGTTTTAGCTGACATGACACCTACGTGGCGGTCTTTATCGTACGTGGCGCTTACGTGATATTAGAATAAAAATAAAAATAAAAAATATGTGGGACCATATATCATTCACACAAAGTACTGTGCGACCAGGACGCTGCGGGGAGGAGGCGATCGTCAGCAGCAGCTAGCCAAGGACGCTGCTGCGACGGTGCAGCCGCGGACGGGGGCCCCGCTCGGGCGGCTCTTCCTCGAGGAGTCCCGTGGCTCGTTTGATAGGTGGTCCACGTCCACGTCGTCGTCGTCTTCCGCGGTGGCGTCCGACGAGAGCGGCTTGGACCGCGGCGCGCCGCCGGAGAGCTACTGTCTCTGGAAATTCAATGGGTTCCATGGCGCGGTGGCGCCGCATTGTTGGAAATTCAATGGAACGAAACTATAACCTGAGACTCTCGATCGAACACACATCGTGCACAATATTTCACGTCTGGCAAAACCGGATGACGAACAGAAAAGAGGCTGCTTGTGCTGCAAATGCCACCGCAGCTTTTCGGGTTTTCTTCTCCTTTTATTGACGCGATTACAGACGCAATATGCGCGCTCCATACGCCACTACATCGCGTGCCATCCCACACGAACCGGCGATACAGGCGAGCGACCCGTACAGAAAGAAAAATGCTCCACGCGCATCAGCCAGCTCGTCGTCGGCCGCAGCCACAGCGACGGCAAGGAGAAGTTCCTGTTCCTCCCCATCCCGCCGCCCAGCAACAAGGAGCGACGTCGATCACTTCACGCCCAAACCCAAACCACCCAAGCCACAGGACGATGCAGTCGGAGTGGTACACGTGCTTGCACGGCATCTGCCGCGCGGCCTCCCCGAGCTCGAAGTCCTCCTTGCAGACGGGGCACTGCGAGCCGTCAGACAGGTGCGCTCGATCCGGTGATCTGCACCGTCAGAAGCGAGTCGATGGCCGACGACGGCGCGGGCGCTGGCCCCGGCCGGTCGTTCTGGGTTAGCCCCCGACGGCGCTGCCCCTACCACCAGATGCGCCGCCCCTGAGAAGGTCTGGGGAGAGAGAGAGAGAGGAGTAAGGGAGAGAGTGTGGGGAGGAAGAAGGGAAGGAGAGGGAGGATGACATGTGGGTCTCACAATATTTTATTTGTACCAATGACATATGGGTCCTATATTTTTTTTATGTTTGTTTTTTTCTAATACCACGTAAGCGTCACATAGGATAAAGACTCGGTCAAGACCACCACATAGTCGCCACGTCAGCCAAAACCACCTCTAAAACCACCGAGGGACATTGTTTGCATTGGTTTTAATAGTTGGAGGAGTCGATATACTCGGTTTTGTGGTTGGAGGAGATGAATCAGGCGATAGTTGAGGGAGTAAAAGTATACTTTTTCCAAATTTAAAAGCCCATGGAGAGATTTTTCTTTTCTCTTTGGGCCTTCACCAACGGTTAATTAATTCGAGAGTGCAACGGTAACAGCACGAATTCGTGTATCACCCTGCGAAACCAAATCCCAAATGCAGCAAGTCTGATCCCAAATTCAGACTGCTAGGTAAAATGCACTGCAATTTGACGGAACAAATATACGGGTGTAGAGTATTTTATATGATCATCAGCTAAATCCTGATTGATACAGAAACATTCGGCCAGAAATTAACGAACGAATCGAGAACACGAAAGCGAAAAAAAAACCGGAATTGAGACACAACTGCATAGTGTCTGGATCAATTGATCGAACCCTTTCTGAACAACATGAGCTGCTTCTCCTCGGCCGCGCGCTCACGATCTCTTGAAGCTGGTGGCGATGGGCACGATGACGAGGAGGACGAGGAGCAGCAGGATGATGATGCCGATGCAGAGCCACTTGCGGCTGCTGCGCTGGTGCTCGCGGGCCTTGCGTAGCTCCTTGTTGCCGCCCTGGACGTAGGTGGTGGCGCTGTTGACGTGGCGCTCGATGTCGTCGAGCTGCTCCCCCTGGGACTCCACCACCACGGCCATGTCGAGGAACACCTGGTGGAGCTCCAGGAGGCTGCGCTCCACCTCGCGGGCGGCGTCGTGGCGGTCCTGGATCTCGTGCACCGTGGCCAGCACCGCGCCCTTGCCGTGCTCCGCCACGGCGGCGCACAGGAGCTCCTCGCTGCGTCCCTCGGAGATGATGCGCTCGATCACCTCCTCCTCGGGGACCTCGCCGGTGAGGGTGTAGTAGCGGCGCTCGACGGTGTCCTTGTACTCGGACATGATCCGCTGCCGCAGGGCCTGGAAGTCGAGCATGAGGTCCTTGAGCTTCTTCCGGAGCGCGGCGGTGAGCGCGGTGCGGGTGCGGTCGAGCGGGGTGCCCTCGCGGCAGCCCGCGGAGAGCCTGCGCTGCGCCGCGTTGGCGCGGTCCATGGCCTCGAGCCTGGCGCGGATGTCGCGCGCGCGGCGGAGCACGGCGATGATGTCGGCGTTGACGCGGCCGCGGAGCGCGCGGAGGGCGTCGGGCTGGTGCAGCGACTTGCCCTCCTCGTTGGCGGCGTTGAGCCTCGCCAGCGCGTCGCGGATGGCGGCCATCTCCTCCTCCACCGCCTCCGTCTCCTGGAAGAACCCCTTGAGGCGCTCGTCGGTGACGCCCACCTCGGGGAGCTCCACGCCATCCCCGCCCGCCTCCAGGTCCTTCATCGCCGCCTTCTTCAGGTCGACGTAGCTCATGAACGACTTGGTCATGAGGTCGTTCATGGCGGCGAATCTCGTGGAGATCTCTCCCTCTCTCTCGCTTCTCTAGGGTTTGGTGGTGAGGCGAAGGCGAAGGCGAAGGGGATCTGGTGATCTGTGAGGAGAGATTGGCTTTGGGGAGAGGAGAGGGGAGGTTTTAAAGGTCGCCGCGGGTCAACGAGGGAGGAGCGGGAGAAGGGGAATAGAGCCGTTGGGTAGGGTGGCGGTCGGGAGCCTGTAACGGCTATGAGATTTTTTCCATTTTGTTTTTCGCTTGCAACGGCTACAATGGAGGATAACTCTCCTTCACAACGGGGGATATTTTGATTTTTTTTTGAGGTAAATGAGATAATGGGATTTGATGCAGAGAACAATTAAAATCTGGTTGGTTTTTAATAACTTTTTTGGAGGAAAAACGAAGTAACATCAGTTCCACGCAGAAGTGTTGTTGGGTCTGCGTGTAGAGCTTTGCAATTCAGGATTGAGCAAATAGATAGGATCCTAGTCATTGTTTTGTGTTTGTGTTTGTGTTTCCCCCAGAGGAATTTCACTTTATTTCAAAGAATGGTATTTCTTGAATAGAATAATTAGATTTGGTATGGTTTTTGGAAGAGCAGAATGTCAGTTCCACACAAATGTATATCTGAGCGTACAACTTTACAACACATAATTAACCAAATAAATAGGACCGTAATCATCGCATGTTTGTGTTTTGCATTTTCCCCTTGATTTTGCAGAGGAATTTGAAATGACTATAGTTGATTCCAACCATAACAACATCGCTTGGTTCAGGCTCCCAAGTCACACAACTTCGCAACTGTAAGCACTCTCACTCATTCAAGCGGAACCAAGAATGTAGTCGTTGCGATGTTTTTTTTTCAAATTTTGCTTCTAATTGAGTTCTTACGAAATGTCGAAATGGTTGCAAATCTATCTTTCCTAGTACTACATACTCAATGTGCCAATGCAAACCAATCAAATAGGACACCTAGCTATGAAGTGAGTGTAATACATGGATTTTGGTGTTGAATTGATAGTGATGCTCACATTTAGGGCATGTTTAGTATAGCTCCAACTCATAAATTTAGCTTCAGAAGTTAGGTCTGGAGTGAAGTTGTGGAGCTGGGCAGCTCCACAACTCTAGTTCATTTTGTGAGAGAGCTCCACCCAACTCCACTGCCAGTTTTGGTGGAACTGAAACTGTTTGGCTGAGCTCCAGCTCTAGGACTGGATTTGTGCCAAACAGGCCCTTATAGAGTGTGTGTCTCTTTGAACGAGCGAATGCGTCTTTACTATTTCCAAAAAAAAAAAGAAAAAAGAGACACCTGACTTACTGTGCTTTCTTTCATCTCAGCTGTCCAAAACTCCAATCGGACGGTCCAGAATATCCAAACCGATGGATAGAGCAAACCCCCCTTATCCCCTCTCTTCTCCCCTTTCTCCCGGCAACGCAACGAACTCCTTCCAAGCTCCTCGCCAATGGCGTCCTCCTCCGCCCTCGCTTCCTCCCCCTTCCTCCCGCCCCTCTCAACCCCAAACCCTAGGGCCCTCTCCCTCCGCCTCCCCGCTCGCCGCCTCCCCGTGGCGTCCTCCGCGGCTCCCTCGGGCGCTGCCGCTGCGGCGTCGGCGAGGGAGCGCCGCCGCTTCCTGGAGCGGTACGGCCTCAACCCCGACGACTTCGAGGACGATGCCGAGGCGGAACCCAGGGTTAGTTTGTTCGGTCCATCGATCAGGGGTCTCGCGGAAGTTGATTCCGTTGTAGTTTCTGGTGATTTGAGTTTGTTTTTTTTTTCTTACAGGAAGAGAGGAGAAGGGATAGGCGGAACCGGCGGTCGGGTAGAGGGGAGGCGGAGGATGCTCCGGCGAAGGCGGCGGCTGAGCCTCGGGAGACGCATAAAATGCTTCAGGTGCCTTTGGTTTTGATTCGCGTATGATTGTTTGTTCATGTGCAACTTCTGAAAAAGGGCGTGCACTTATTTAATTTATGTATACATGGGTAAATAAAAGGAACCACTTGCTTGTGACTAAAATTGCCATCATTGGGAAGTCTCTGATGGAAATAAATGTTTGTTGCCTACTTGCCATTACTTCTGCCAGAAAGATGTAGTAGGTCAGAAGGTGTTTGGCACTTCTGTATAACCAGATGACCTTTTGTCCTGAGAAACCAGATTTGCACGCTCATATATTGATAATTCACCCACTTTGCCAGGCTTGTAGAACAAACTATTCATTGTCATGTAAGAATGACCCCATACTGGAAGTGTTCGGCAACTAATGCACTTCTCTATGAAATAAAATTGCATTAATTATTTCAATGCTTCGGTTCTTTTAGAGGTTAAAGTGCACCATGTTTCTGCTAGGTGTTAGGAGGAAAAGTACGCAGAAGAAAATTACTTTCACCAAAAGATAGGAATGTTCGTCCAATGATGGAAGTTGTACGAGGGGCAGCCTTTGACATTTTACAGGTACCTATTTAGTTTAATTTGTTTATGTCAGCTACTCAGTTATAAAAGTTCAACCTTATGGTACTGACAGATCTATGTTGGTTCTTGGCCTTAATATGCAGTCAGCTGGTGGTTTTCCGGCTTCGCTTAGACCTGGTCGATGGTTAGACTTGTATAGTGGTACTGGATCTGTTGGAATTGAGGCTATGAGCCGTGGATGTTCAGAGGTTTTCCCCAGAACTGAAGTTAAAGTATATTTATTTGCTAATCTAATTACCTACCTGCTCTACCATAAATCTATAGGACCAAATGTATTCACAATATATATGAATGGGATTTCCACTTTTAGGAGAGGGTGTGCATAGGCGTACAAGTATATCTTGAGTTTTATTTCCATAAAAATATCTATTGGCACTTCCTGTTTAGTAATCGTGAATGGTAGCACTTAAAATTTAGCTTGAAGTACTGTAAGTGTTTGCAAGTTAGCATGAAGTGCCTTTTGTGTTCTTTTCTATTATCTATTTTTACAGTTGTGAGAATGATTTCAAATTCTGATAGCATAAAATTTCCATTGAGAGAACAAAATGATGAGGAATGAGAAGTATTGTGATTCATTCATTTGTTTGTTTCCTTTTGTCTTAGGCACATTTTGTTGAGATGGATCCTTGGGTTGTTTCTGAGGTCCTTAAACCGAATCTGGAGTGTACTGGATTTCTTGATGTTTCGCACATACATATGATCCGCGTCGAAAACTTCTTGGCCAATGCTGAAAAATCTAGTGGTATGACTCTTTTAGGGAATATGGGACTCTAATTCTAGTTAGGAAGGTGAGGTAGGTAAACATTGTGAGACTATTGATGGGCTTGTTTGGTTGATGCCCTTGATAGCCACAACGAATCATGGCAAGCCGAAATTTGGCAGGCAAAAGGAGATTTGCTTGGATCATGGCCAAGCCTAATTTGCTCGCAGTACCAATTTTTGGTTTGCTTACAAGGATATTAAGCCAAAACAGGCTTCGAACTCTGCGCTGACAGTGACTTCTTGTTAAAAATTTATGATGATATAGATTTAAAGATTGTTTATTGGTAGTATTAGTAACAGAAAGCTAATAATGGATGTGTAACATCGGTGCATTTGGACATGTCCTTAGATGCAGTACTATGAATCTATGATTAATGTGTCATTCAATACACTCTTTTATAATCATATGCCACACAGTGCAGTTGTGCACAAACACATGGATCATGCAAAAATTCTTATAAACAAGATATTTTAGTCCTTTTGACAGCATTATTATCCTGTTCTCTGACACATACACTCTTTTTATCTCTCTCAGGTAAATATCCTTCTTTTGATTATATTAGTGTAACACCGCCATATCTTGAGGTAAACTACAGTACACTACTCGATCAACTTGCAAGGTCACCATTGGTTGGAGAAGATTGCTTCATTGTGAGTTTTTCATTCTGTGTCAATCTAACTATTTTGCTCTTATGCACATTCCTTACCATCATTTGTTTTTCCTTAGCTCGTTGAATACCCACTGAAAACAGACATGGCCGAATCATGTGGAAGCCTTATAAAAGTGAGTGTCTTACACTTTGACCCTACTCAGCACTGACATAATGGTAGTGCAATAGCGCTTAGCTTTCTGGATTGCTGATGCAGTTGCTTATTTGTTTGCAAATATTGCAGGTAGCTGACAGGAGGTTTGGTAGGACAAACTTGCTAATTTATGGGCCAACCTGGGCTGAGAAGAAGAGGAGATCTTGAGATGATTTGTGAGACATTGAGGCAAATTCTCCCCTCTTTATGCACATTTTGGATCTCACCACACTAATACACTAATACAGACTCTTCAACAACCATCTTGCAGGTATGCTAATTACTGGAAAGGAACGCTGTCTCGACAGTGTCACCGCACTCTTGAACAGCAACGAGTGGCTCAGCTCCTCTCGAAACTATCAACAGTGAAATTCATGGAACATCCTGTGGAGATGATGGACTACTGTCTAGTACACTGGAAGATTGTATGAGGGAGAGACAGAGAGTACTTCTCTTTCATTATAGTTCACCAATCCACATCCCAGAAGAAGAAAATGATCACTGGCTCACTGCGTTTCAAGGCATCAGCATCAAGCCACCATGCGATAGTGACCTATCTCCACGTTGCTACGAGCCTGACTCTATCTAGCATTGTAGGTCATGCCTCGCCGGTGATATGATCTGAGCCGTACATTTATGCATTCAGACATTCAGTACACTGGCTCTAGCTGCACAGGCATTTGTGTGCTCAATCTCCATAGAACAACATGATTATGTTGCTTATTGATCGGTGGATGCAATAAGTTTATAAGCAAAATCTGCTTTTTTTTTTCTTCATTACATCAATTAGCGTTATGCTCTTGTTGACAGGATACATACGTGCCAACATGTGAGGGGTGCATTGATCTGAAGCAATCCCCTGCACTCCAGTCTTGGGGAAAAAAACAAGGAGAGTTGGTTGCATTCCAGGATGATCACGTAGCAGCAAATGTTCCCTCTTCAACTACACTAAGGATGAGTAGTATCCTGTTTCTGCTCACAAGTCGCAACCGTCGAGAATTCATCGATAATTTTTGACCATCTGTCAAAATTCATGCGAGATTCATACAAGTCACAACTCGCTCTTCACTTCAGAATTCGGATATATGTGTTCCAAACTTCCGATCGTGCGCACTGGTCCATAGACGCCTATGGTGGACTAGGTCCAGGCAACCTAAGCAGTGGATGCTCATCAGCGGATGGTGCAGAACAGAAAGCGAGAAAAAAAACAAGAACCAGACGGGGGAAAATTGGGTAGGTTGGGGCCATGCTGCTGACGTGGGCCAAGGTCTCGCGGCACTTTCCCCAACCAGCGAATCTGCTTGGGTTTCAGTGCGCAACACAGGGCATTTCTGCATTTCTCACCGGATTTGCCGTCCGACCAGGATGCTGAGGTACTGAGCAAACACCCAGATTAGCCGTGAACCTTAACCTGTTGAAGGCTCCCAAGATTTCTAAACGCAACAGAAAAAAACGTAGAAATATAATGTCACATAATTTAAAATCATATACTCGTATGGTTTTAAAACACAGAAACACTAGTGTTGGATGTTTTATATAATTGAAACACATGACATTTTAAGAAAACTCACATGTGGAAGAGAGATTAAAGAGGGAAAGAGAGTTTGCATTGGACTTAGCAAAGGAAAATAAACTAAGAGGTTTAAGCTCATGTTAAAACTCCTATAGAGCGAGGGTATAGAAAAGTAATCCTTAGGAATCTTGCACTCTGAAATTTTTCATAAGTATGCTGATCCTCTAAAAATCATATGTTTTTTCTATGTCCCAATGGAGATCTAAATAGTTTTTTTAAAAGGAAATTAATGGAGCATTTTGATTCTCTACTTTTCGCTCCAATGGACAATATCCTGCTAACCATTACGAGTATTCTTTACTTTTCTCCACAACAAAATGTAGTAGCAGAACTAACTGCCTAGATAGCATATGCCATTTTGGCCTTTACTTTGGCTAAAGTTATTCTCTTCGATGGACTAAACAAGTCCAATGTATCAAAGAATTATGAGATAGCCTCATTATCTTCATTAACTATAACCCCTCCAAAAACAAAGACCAAAGAGAGGCTTGGTCAGTTGGTTGGCACGAAAGGAGAAGCGAATTTGGATTCTTTGTGAATCAGATCCGATAACCCGGCTTCATCATTTCTTTTTATATTATGTAAAATATATATATATTTAGAGAGAGAGAGAAGCCACCACATGATCATCTGACTGACGACATGAGTCTTGCCCTGGGGTCCAAGGAATCCACCGACAGCAGTCCACCGACAGCTCGCCCAGATCTTGATTTGTTTATCACCTCACTCATCAACTCACCAAATTAGCATACTTATATTATCACTACTAGTAGTATGGAGGAGTATTATTGTTTCTCTCTTTCTCGCTGATTAGTCCCCGTCTAGCCAAGGCGAGAAGTAATTAGCACACCGTGTGAGAGGGTGACCTCTCACCAATTAAGGTGTGCGTCCACGCATCCAAGTATTTAATCGTGTGCTATTTTTTTCCCAACCACTGCTGCTCGCCGTGTCACGCATCGCATGACATAAAACCGTATAGCTTGATCACTCTTCACAGTACGAAGTCTTTTATTTGTGCTACTTGTATGTAGTACTGCGTCAATAATTAAAGTAGTGTATTATTCAGTGTGGCGCCTTAAAAATGCTATCTTTTTGGTGCAGGGGAATAGTACTAGTACAATGCTAGAGCTCACTAACTGACCATTAAAGTATGTGGTGGTTATGGATTTTAAAACAACCATCTGATATTGGCTGGGCGATTGTGGTAGACACGCCCTAGATAGGAGGAATCACAACTTGACTAGAATACAATGATACGGCAGATAATGTATGTCCAACTAGTATGCAGGGGTTCAGATTAAAGAAAAACTGATGATTCTTGCATATAAAAAAAGGAAATGAACAAACATAGATTATGGGGCATCATGCATCAAGCTCTGCTATGTCTAAGCCCTGAATTTCCCATTTCCTTGACTTGATGGTTTCATCTTTTATTCCTCCATCCTCCAATCCCACCAACTCTGTCCAACTTGATTGAAGTATAAAACTGAGTGGCACATACATTTTGAATCACTAATACAGGCAATACCAGTTAACAACCACACCATAATCGTTTGCTTCAAGCCTTGAGCAACGGTAACTGCTTTGCAAAGGAAAGGCACGGAGACAAGTTAATGCTGTCGCTTTCTTGCATTATTGGGACCTATATATCTTCTTTGCCACGTACAGTTTGATAATGTACAAACAACTTTGCATCCCAGATCTACCAAAGTTAACACTCCTAACAAAGGCCTACTACTACTCTTCTATATCACCTGATAATGCCCAAACGTCCCACAACTACTACTCCCACTTTACAACAGTAAACAATCACAACTTCCGTAAGATCTAAACACCGTTTTCTTTTTCTGTTTCTTATTCCACCCAGACACAAAAGTGAACCCCACTGGGTAAGTGCAACCCTGTTACTACTACCTACCCCAACCCCAACGCACCACCCTCTATTGTGAATCGGATGGTTATTAATGACATTTATCGAATTTTCTCTTATAGTAGTATACTTCCCAGTTCTAAAATATAAGAGCATGATGCATTCCATCTAATTCAATATTTTATATTTTGAGATGGAAGAGTAGCTATTCCCCAATCACGTCCCGTAGAGAGCAGCAGTAGCGTAGAGCCGTGGAGGGGCTTGTACCGGCAGGCACCAGCACCGGCGCCCGCCGACGCCCACAAGCCCCCACCGAGCGCGGCCGCACCACCAACCGATAGCGGAGCGGCAACAACAAAACGAAGCCGAAACGAAAAGACGGGGGGCGACGAGGCGAGCGCGAGAAAGAGAAAGAGAGAGCAACGCCCCAACCACCACCCCCTCTGCCCAGGCCCCAGATCCCTCCACCCCATCGCACGCCACAACATAACATAACACCGCAAACACGCACCCTCCCAACAGACGCCTCCTCCCCTCCCTCCCTCCCACCTACACTCCGCTGCGCAGCCAGCTTCGCTCGCCCGCTACCTCACTCACTCTCGGGTGAGCGCGGCCACCGCTGCCGGCGACGAGGTAGGGAGGAGGAGGAGGGCAAGATGTTCGGGCGGGACCCGTGGGGCGGGCCGCTGGAGATCTCGAATGCGGACTCGGCGACGGACGACGACCGGAGCCGGGACCTGGACAGGGGGGCGCTGATGCGGCAGCTGGACGAGACGCAGCAGAGCTGGCTCCTGGCCGGGCCGGGCGACCAGGCCGGCAAGAAGAAGAAGAAGTACGTCGACCTCGGCTGCATGGTCCTCGACCGCAAGATCTTCATGTGGACCGTCGGCACCATCCTCGGCGTCGGCCTCTTCATCGGCTTCGTCATGATGATCGTCAAGCTCGTCCCCCACAAGCGCCCCCCTCCTCCTCCCCCCGACCAGTACACCCAGGCCCTCCACAAGGCCCTCATGTTCTTCAACGCGCAACGATGTGAGTTTTTTTCACTCCTTTCCTCCCTCCGTCTCCATCTCTGTCTGCATCAGAAGAAGAGGAGGAAGAAGATTTCAGAATTCAGATCCGGTTTTGCACGGCAATGTCGTGCGAAAAAGACGGGCACTTGCAGCTGTCTCTCCCCTGTCTCGGAGTGGCCTCTGCTGCCTCACTCTGTTTCTACATTTAGCATGTCTTTGTTGCTAAAAGATCTGGTCATTTGCACTAAATTACCCCCACATATATTCTCTCCACGCATGTTTAACCAGATCACGGTCCACGTGCAATAAACTACTGTCAAAATGACATTTTTTTCCTCGGTCCTGGATCTTGAGAGAGGATGAACAAAAGTCAATGTGAATTCGAATTCATATAAGCAAATTCTGCTCACCTTCTGACGATGTATCGTTCTGAATGTCAGCTGGTCCGCTGCCGAAGCATAACGGCGTCAGCTGGAGGGGGAATTCTTGCATGAAGGATGGCCTCTCCGACAGCACCGTCCGGAAGAGCTTGGTCGGAGGCTTCTACGACGCAGGAGACGCCATCAAGTTCAACTACCCCATGGCCTGGTCCATGACCATGCTCAGCTGGAGTGTGATCGAGTACAAGGCCAAGTATGAGGCGATCGGTGAGCTCGACCATGTCAAGGAGCTGATCAAGTGGGGCACAGATTACCTCCTCAAGACCTTCAATTCATCAGCCGATACTATCGATCGGATCGTCGCACAGGTTGGTAGAAGCCGACCATCTGTTAATCCTGAGTTTTCACTTTCCTGTCCCAAGAAATAAGGCGTCAGATCCACTCAAATATGTAGAGTAAACTTCACAGCAGATTTTCTAAATCATTGGTATCATATGAACTTCTTATTGCAGGTGGGTGTAGGTGACACCTCAAAAGGTGGTGCCCAACCTAATGACCACTACTGCTGGATGAGGCCAGAGGATATCGATTACCCCAGACCTGTCACTGAGTGCCACTCTTGCTCAGATCTTGCTTCCGAAATGGCTGCTGCCCTTGCTGCAGCTTCCATAGTGTTCAAGGACAGCAAGACTTACTCTGACAAGCTCGTGCGTGGCGCAAAGGCCCTGTACAAGTTCGGTAGGCTGCAGCGTGGGAGATACAGCCCCAATGGCTCTGATCAAGCAATTTTCTACAATTCCACCAGTTACTGGGATGAGTTTGTGTGGGGTGGTGCGTGGATGTACTTTGCCACAGGGAACAATACATACCTATCGGTTGCAACAGCTCCGGGGATGGCAAAGCATGCTGGAGCATACTGGCTCGATAGTCCGAATTATGGAGTTTTTACCTGGGATGACAAGCTTCCAGGAGCTCAGGTTAGCATACTTCACACCTCTGTACTCAGTGCACTGGTTAGCTAGAACCACATTGCAGTTAGTGTAAAATGACAGAAGAAGGATAAGGTAATCTGAATGAGAAAATATACAAGTGTTTTAGAAGGTGCAGGAATTAACCAAAAATGATTTGCATAGAGAAGGGTGGTTAATGGTATACTTCAATACTGCAGCGATACTGTGATAGTGATCCACCTCTAACATTGTTTCTACTTTATTCAGGTTCTTCTGAGCAGGTTGCGGCTTTTCCTAAGTCCTGGATATCCTTACGAAGAAATACTGAGAACATTTCACAACCAAACAGACAATGTTATGTGCTCGTATCTGCCGATGTACAATTCATTCAACTTTACCAAAGGTCGGTGCTGTTCCCCCTTTGCCTCTCTTTTTTTCTCTCTAGCCACAAATGGAAGTTAAACAATGGGAGGTTTACAGGAGGAATGATACAGCTCAACCACGGAAGGCCTCAGCCACTTCAGTATGTTGTCAATGCGGCTTTCCTTGCCTCTCTATACAGCGATTACCTGGATGCTGCAGATACACCTGGGTGGTATTGTGGACCTACTTTCTACACTACAGAAGTCCTCCGCAAATTTGCAAGGTCACAGGTAAGGTTTTGTTGCCCATGCTCTTGAAGTAGTCAAAGCTACATTAGCACAGTTCGGTGAATTTGACACCCAAAACCCTTCAATTTGCAGCTCGATTATGTCCTAGGTAAGAACCCACTGAAGATGAGCTACGTTGTGGGTTTTGGAAACAAGTACCCCAAGCGCGCTCATCACAGAGGTGCATCAATCCCTCATAATGGTGTCAAATATGGATGCAAAGGAGGCTTTAAATGGAGGGAGACTAAGAAGCCAAATCCTAATATCCTTATTGGAGCACTGGTTGCTGGCCCTGATAGGCATGATGGCTTCAAAGATGTCCGTACAAACTACAATTACACGGAGCCTACTCTTGCAGCAAATGCTGGCCTGGTGGCAGCCTTGATTTCCCTAACTAACATTCACGTCAAAAGTGGAATCGATAAGAACACCATCTTCTCTGCAGTTCCTCCGATGTTTCCAACTCCCCCACCTCCACCGTCAGCTTGGAAACCATGAAGAGTCAGATCGCTGAATATTTCTTGAGCATCAAACGGAGGGAACGACAGATGTTTGTTTGGTACAGCAAAGGACACATACAGAAAGCAGACAACATAAGCTTACAGAGCCTCTATTTTCTGTATCAGTATGACAGATCGGTATAAATTCATCTGTCGACAATAGACCGGGATGTTGTGTGCACCTTGTGAAACTAATTTTTGGGGTCCTTGTTGTTATTCGTTCAGAGCTCATGTGTGAAGTTCTTTTTGTAGAAATGGAACCTTTATAAACCGTTTTATAGGAGTGACTTTATCATCATACTAAAGGATTTGTGTAACCTTTATACAGCTTTCTTGATTCCATTTTTATCTCTTTGCCTTACATTTCAGCCACACTTCAGGGGCATGTTCACTAAATTCTCATCATATCCAATGTGTGTGTTTATTTTAGTTCTGCGGTGGGGGATGAGTTGGGCAGACTCTACAGCATGGCAGAAGAAGCATATATCTTTATGCCTAATAAAATTGTCATAAACTGACCTCTTTATATAGTTACACTTAAAAAATTAATCCCTTGCGTTGGTGCACCAACAATTATACAAATAAAAACTAAGAACTCCACTGACTATCAACTCTGAGAAATATAAAAAAACACGTCTAAGGGGCATAACATATTTGTCATGAAGCACATGATGAGATCTTACAAACAAAGCAACTGGGGTAGAAAAAGAATAACAATGATGATATACAGATGGTTTCTGGTTAGATAACAGGAAACAGCAATTTAAATTTTGTGAAGCTGTAAACTGCATCAAATGATAATGGCAAAGAAAGACCAAATCTGATTTATTATGGCATATTGGCATAGCAGTGTCACGCTGAAAACTACATGATCCCACAATGCATGGTACAGAAATAAAAGGAAGGATCTAGCAGATAACAATAGGCAAGCTCGTTGCATAATAATCATTCCAACGTCAATCATGAGCAAGAACCCCAGATATTGCTTACCTTCCGCGCAACATTCTGCCTCGGATGATCTACTATATTGGTGGCATGTTGGGCTTCAACCTCATGCCTTTCCACGGTACCAGCAACAAGTCTTCGGCAATGATCTTTCAGCAAAGCAAGTTGCCAGGGCACTCCCATGGACAGTCTTCCTCAGTTCAAACATGTATCAGCATGTACTCCGTAGACATCTTAATAAAGAATTCTTTGCTTGGTATACAAGCATCTCACATCCGAGTGGACAACAAGTCTGCATTGGCTCAATATTGCAGCTAGATTATCTTGTGACTGATCGCATTATGGGCTTCATTCGCAATACCTGTTGAAATCTCTCCTTGATGCCAGCATCAATAGACTGACACAGCTCTACCGGCAAAGCCTCCTCATGCGCCTTCTCAATTTCATCTTTCACAAGCTTGTATGTGTGCTCCCTTGGAAGATGCCCACTTTCAGCCATTTCGATAATGAACTGCCTTGCCTCACTAATCCGTCCAATCTCACACAAAGAGTGGATAATAGGCGTATATGTGCTCGATGTCGCTCCCCCATGCCCCCTCGCCACCATCTCCCTCATCCACTTAACAGCCTTGTCCACCTCATTCACCACGCTATAATACCTCACAAAGGAATTGTAAGTCACCCTGTTTGGTGAGCACCCCTTCCTTAGCATTTCATCAAACACCTCGTGCGCGCGCTCGACACGGTATGTCTTGCATAGGCCATTGATCAAACAGTTGTAGGTCACGACATCCGGCTCAAGCCCTTTCTCCCCCATCCTCCGGAACAGCCTCCCCGCCTCGTAGATCCTCCTCCTCGCCGCTTTCCGGCATCCCGTCTCCACTCCGATCCGGCAGTACGAGGAGATGAGCACCGTGTAGGTGTAGGAATCAGGGCCGCACCGCGCGCCGGGGCGCTCCATCTGGTCGAGCAGGAACCTGGCGTCCTTGAAGCGGCCGTTCCGGCACAGCGCGGCGAGCAGAGTGTTGTAGCACTGCGCGTCGGGGGAGCAGTGGAACTGGCGCCCGCGGTGGAAGGCGGCGAGGGCGTGGCGCGGGAGGCCCTCCTCGCCGAGCGCGCGTATGACGTCGGTGAGCGCGGCGGTGGAGACGAGCGGCGCGTGGTCGCGGAGGAGGCGGAAGAGCGCCGGGAGCGCGCGGGCGCGGGCGAGGGAGAGCGCGGCGGCGCGGAGCGGGGGCTCGGTGAGATGCGCGGGGCGGCGCGGGTTGGCGTCGGAGTGGGACCAGGAGAGGAAGGCGAGGGTGAGGGCGGCGGCGAGGCGGCGGGTGGGGGCGGAGGACGGGGAGGGGAAGGGGCGCTGCGGGCAGAGGCAGCGCGAGGAGCGCGGGAGGAGGAGGCGCGGGATGGCGGCGAGGGCGGCGGCGATGGTGGGCGGGGAGAAGCCGCGGAAGGCCGGGGACGGGCGGAGCGTGGCGTCGAAGCGGCGGCGCTGGAGGAGCGCGACCAGGAGCTGGGGCACGAGGCGGGACGGCGACGACATTGGTGAGTTCCTTTCTTCCCTTTCCCAACTTTAATGCTCTCTCAGTTTTCCACAGTCCCACTTCAAAAGCGGCTAAACATTACCTTCAAAAAAAAACTATAGAAAACTTATTTTAAAAAATATATTAATTTATTCGATAATCCTTATACACGGGCTCACGATAAGAGAGAAAAATACTGGGCGTCCGCACATCTCATTCCACGTCGCTAAGACTCTCTACGCGCTCCTTCGCTCGTGTCGCCTTATCTCCCTCGTCGGCGCCGCCTCCTCTCCTATGAGCTCCCTCGCCCGCGCCGCCTCCTCTCTCCTGTCAACCTCGCCCGCGTCGCTTTCCTGTCGGATCCACTGCTACTTTTCGTCTTCCTTGGCGGCTTCGTCCCCATGGTGGTGACGGTGGTGGAGGAGGCTCGCTGGCTTCCTCTCTCCATCTCTGCCACTGTCACACCCTGAAGTTTTCCCCCTTTTGCTTGCTTTAAAAATTGGTTAAATAAATTGCCCGAAGAAATTATCTTAATTAACCTAGAGCTAAATCCCTAGTTAATAAAAGCACTTAATAATCGGAAATAGCGTGGTGGAATTTTTCTTGAGTTCCCCATGCTCCAATGCATTAACAAGATTTTTAGTGGAATTTTCAGAGCCTTGGAAATAATTTTAACCAATTAAAAATCACCAAAGTGCAATTTTAAATCCCAGGAAAAATCCTTTCTTCTTTTTCTTTTTTTCTTTTCCCTCCTTTTTCTTTGTTGGGCCGTCGGCCCATCCCTCTCCCGCTCGGCCTTCCTCTTGTTGGGCCGGCCCATGCGCCCCTCCCTCCTCTCTCTGGGATGCCGACAGGTGGGCCCCACCTGTCGGTCGTCTCCCACCTCCAGCCGTTGGAGCCGGAGCTCCAACTGCTGCCGTCGAAACCGCCCATGCCGCCGCCGCCGTTTCCCGCCGTTCTCCACGCCCCACTCCGCCCGTGCCGCGCGCCCACGTCACCGCCCCACTCCTCCGCCCTTCCCGCCCGCGCGCATGCACGAAGTGGGCGGGATTCATTTTGAATCCCCCCCCATTCTCTCTCTCTCCACCCCCACGTCGCCGGCCAAATCGGCCATCTCCCCGGCCACGTCCGCCCCTCCCTCGCCCATAAAAACCCTCCCCCGAGTCCCCTCCCTCGTTTCCCCCATTTGCCGTCCTCTCCCACGCCCCCTACCGCGCCCGCGCCGTCACACCCGAGCCCCGCCGCTTGCCGCCGCCTTCGGCCGCGAGCCGCCGAAGCTAGAGTCGCCGCCGCGCCAAACCGCCGCCGCCGTTAGCTTCGCCGCCGCAAGAGCTTTCCCGGCCGCCGCCTCGCGTCACCGGAATCCCACCAGAGCGCCTCTCCCCTCGCGAGCCGGTGAGTTTTTCCCTCCCCTCCATCTCCGGCCGGCAATTCAAGCCGCCGTGGTCGTCGTCTCTTCTCCTAACGCCTCTCCATCTTCTCCTAGGGTGTCGCCGCCGCCCGTCCGTGCCTCCGCGTCGCCGGTCATCGCCGCCGTCTTCATCCTTCGCGCCGGCCGCCGTGCTCACAGTGAGGAGCCCCTCTCCTCCCTCCTTCCCTCTGTCCCGCACGCGCTGCCGCTCCCTGCGCTCGCCATCGCCTTCGTCCGCCGCCGCCGGTCTGTGCGCCGCCCGCCGCCGCCTCCCACGCCGCTGGTTGCCGTCACCGGCGACCGCATGCCGCCGCCGTTCGCCATGCTTGCCGGCCGGCTTGAAGCCGAGGCCGAGCCCGGTGGCTGCTCCCTGCACCGTCCGATCGGCTTGGGCCGATCCGGACCCTTGGTCCCGTGGACCGGCCGCCTTGAGCCGCTGACATGCGGGCCCCGCTTGCCGGCACCCCCTTCCTCTCCCCTTTGAGCCGCTGACCCGTGGGCCCCACCTGTCGCCGCCGCCCCCCCCCCTTTGCTGATGTCAGCCCTGGGCTTTATTGCGCAATAATTAATTAAGGACTTTTTCTTTATTAGTAAAAACACAGTTTATCTTCTAAAATTCATAAGTAATTCATCCGAGCTCCGTTTAAGTCCATTCAAGTCTCAGTAAATCAAGAAAAATGCAAAGAATCCATTAAAAATGGTTTTGTTTCCTGTTTCTGTAGTCTTATAGCATGTTTTGCTTGTGTGCTTTGTTTGTCGCGTAGGTTTCGGCCGTTTCGTCGATCCGCAGTTTCTCGAAGACGTTGCTGAGGTCTCATCAGTTCGAGAGCAAGGCAAGTCATGCAATACGTTTGATCATATTGTACCCAATTTACAAATATCCCGCATTTCTATTAAATGTTGCATTCTTTTACAATGTAATGTGGGATGGGTCCTATTCCTCAGCCACATATTGGTTACCCTATGCCATTGATAACTTGGGTATCAAAATGACTAGATGTTGGCTTAGGAAATGCTTAGCCATGCTTAGTTCAACTAGTACACAAATGGGGATCACATTATTACATAGACTTTGTCTTTTGGCATAGCTTTAGATTGGTGCCACCGCAATGGTGTTAGTTAATTAAAATACACTGAATGGCGGGCTGTGAGTGCATGGTTTTGCTGGTCGCACCCATGGCAGTTAAGGACCGGTTCACGGGAAACCCTGGGAGACTTACCGTGCTTACCACAAGCGGGAGTGGGTAACTGCTTGATCTGAAGTATAGCTCGACCCTTTCCTAGGCACCGGTGGCGAGGGTGGGCGTGATGGAGTTGGGTCGGCCGAGGTGTTCGGTTGTCCAGCTGCCGGATTCACCGCGGCGCAAGAGGGGACCGCCCACTGCCTTTTGAGGGGTGGGGGTGAAACCTTAGCGTGGTGTGGATGGTTAGGGGAGGGTTATGTGGAGGGTCTTGTCACGATTTCCCCCTTTGCAGTATCATGGTGATACTTCGGGGCATGGCGACATGTGTGGAATCGTGTCTTGTGGGTACAGTTGTACACCTCTGGCCAGAGTAAAACTATTCGAATAGCCGTGCCCGCGGTTATGGGCGATCAACCAGATTCACCGTGATTAGTCTCACCCCTAGTTTAGCTTAATGAACTGGTGTAGTTCAGGTGGTTGGTTGGGCCTGTTGCAACGTGGTGTAGCGTTGGACAGTGATTGGTTAATATTGATTAATTACTACAACTGTTTTACTGCCTTCAACTACTGCTTTTAAATGCTAGCTTTATGCAAAAGAACCTCTAGCCTCCTTTGGTTATATCCTGCATCATACCTCCTCTTCCGGTATGACTTGCTGAGTACAGTGGGTAGTACTTAGTCTTGCTCTCTTTTCCCCCACACCAGAGTTGAAGTTCTTCTCAGTTGGAGCCGTCTCAGAGAGGTTGGTTTCGTCGCTGCCGTCAAGGGTTGCCTGTGGAATGGAATCGCCCGCTGCAGGAGTCAAGTCTTCAGGCTTAGCTCGCTTTTACCTTTTCCGCTGCATTTGTAATCCTTTATGTTTTTGTAAGACGTGGATCTGTATGTCAACAATTGTCGTTTGTGTACCCTGGCTGGTCCTGGACAGGGGTTTAATACACATTCAGCTTAGAAATTCTGGTTCGTGAATTTCTGGGCGTGACAGCCACCCTCCCTCTTCTCCTCATCCAGATCCGGTGATGGGGGCAGTGGAGAAGACTAATGCGGGCAACCCTGTGTTCGTCGGAGAGGAGAAAGATGCAGTCCATATCAAGTTCTGTGTGTTTCTTGTGTGTTACAGCTAGCGTACTCGTGATGTTCAGTGTTTGGATCAAATGTTGCACTGGATATTTCGATAGTGGTCCATATCTCTATTTTCGACATGTGGGTTTCGTTGATGTTTTAATGGTTCAAAAGCAATGTTTCGGCTAGTGTACTTGTTGGAGGCTTACCACGGAGGGCCTTCGACCGAACCTGCCGAAACCAAAAGTTCAAGCAACAGGATCATGCCGAAGGTGGGCGGCGAAGGTCGAGAGTGAAGCCATACGGGCGAAAGACATGACTTGGGTAACACCACTTTCGCCGAGTGGAGTTCTCGCCAGAAGGCGGCATGGACGAAGATGATGCGGCGAAAGCCTCGGCACACAGGCACGGGTTTTGCCAAAGCACCGAACCCCGTTGTTGGGAGGCTTGGTGGGCCGCTACGCCCTCGGGGGATTTCGCCAGATAGATGGGCCGAGCCATTTTGGCCCAGTAGGGGCCCGTATGTGTAAAGGACATAGTGTGCCCTCCATAATGTCCCTATCATAAGGGTAACCATATAAATTCCAATGTATAATCTAAACCCTAGTAGCGGGAACCTGTAATGGGGCTATAAATAGCCCCATAGGGCCATGTAATAGGGGGATCCCAAAAAATTTAAACAAAGTAGTACAATTATTCTTCTATTTCCCATCTACTATTGAGAGAACCACGTCATTTGACGTGACGCAATTATCCATTCGACAACAGTACTCATGATGTTTCTTTGTGTGTGGATCAAATGTTGCAGTGGATTTTAGATAGTGTTTAATATTTTTTATCTTGATGTACACATGGCTTGTTTTGATGTACACGAGATTTAAGTGTTTCAATGGCTTAAATCGTTTTGTTGCATACGTTGGACCAAATTGTTTCATCTAATGATCTCACCGTATTTCACTTTTTTTTAAGAACTGAAACATTATTTGTATAAAGGGTGAAACAACGCTATTTTTTAAGGACTGAAACATTCGTTTGCTAAGTACTGAAACATTCTTTTGCTAAGTACTGAAACATTGTTTTTATAAAGGGTGAAACAACGCGCCTCCTAAATTATTTTTAAAAACTCTTTAACTAATTTAAAAATAATAATAAACTAACTTAGTACGAGATGTGTCCTATCCAACATCACGATTCTAGACAATCTTTGAAAAACTTAACACAGTTGTACTTTCTAAATTTATATATTTTAAAATGAAGAAAATACTAATTAATCATGCACCAAACTCCATATCAACCAAACTTTTACATGCTAAGATAAAAGATTTATCCATATCAACCAAACTTTTACATGCTAAGAGAAAAGATTTATCCATATCAGCACGACAACATCCTCTACCTTCAAAATCAAAGCGACTTTGTGAAGTGAGTGTAACTCAACCAGTTTACCTAGGTTAAATTCTAAACTTGACACGGGTGCTCGTATTTACGGCTAATTGTTCTTTCAGCGGTAGGCGATGTATCTCTTGTATAGCCGCCATCCGGCCTACCCAGAATATTACAGAGATGCTCATATGGATAGGGTGTGCGCGTTCATAGGGATGAATGTGCCGACCCACGCAGAGTATTCCGGGGTGCTTATATGGGTAGGGCGTGCGCGCGTGTGATTATAGGGGTGAATATGTATACGCTCACCTATGAACAGATACGCGCATTTGTACCGTGTTTCTAAATAAAATTCATAATGACTTTATCATTGAGATATGGATCCAATAAATTATAGACCCACTTGTCAGTACAAACCTGTTTTTTTTCTCAACCCTACACACCCCGGTCAAGCTGTCTATTGATCGGTTACTCCCTGTACAGCTAAGGCCCGTAAAAATATCTGGCCCAGTCTGCTCATACGGCCCATATAGCCAACTCCACCCTTCCGTTTCCCTTTTTGTACATATCCCCCGTTCGGGCAGACGCCTCTTCGTCCGCACTATTTCCGTCCCCTTGCCCTCCCACACAATCGCCGAGTGTCCGAGACGCAGCCGCCGCCGCCGCCGCCGCGCACCCATCGCCTCCTCCTCACATCGCACCCCCGAGCAGCCGAATCCTCCGTCGCGCGCCGCCCCTTCCTCCCCGCTCTCCGCCGCTGCCCGTGCCGCAGGCGCGGGCGGACTCTCTCGGTAGGTAATCCTATCCCCCCGATTTGCCCTAATTCCGACCGTTAAGTCGAATTCCGCCCCATCTGATTCGCCCCAGGGGCGCGTGTGGCCTTAGATTTGGCCGGAAATGGATCGGTTTGCCGTAGAAACCCTAGAGATTCGTGGGGGATTTTTGACGTGTTACCCTCTTCGGCGTGGACGAGTGGAGTGGAGTGGAGTGGGAGGACGGAGTATTGAGATAGCTTTGCTCCTACGTGTGGAGGAAGATCTGAGAGGTTGAATCGGGTAGACACCTGGTGTTCTGTATCTTTCTCGTCTGATATCAATGATAGATTGATAGTGGATTGGCGTTTCCTGCATTCAGAGTCTATTGTTCATCCTTTGTGGTTGATGGCTCTAATCATGGATCTTTTTTTTATTATTATTTGCTTCTTCGAGGCTTCAAGCTGTTAGGAAAAAAAATCCATTGATGGTAAACTGTTGAAGAGTTGGATGATACAGCGTGACTTCCCTGGTTTACTGCTGAAATCTGCATATTGCACCAACATCCTTTTCTTTTTTCCGATAAGAATTATTATGTTATCCTTTTTTTCCCGATAAGAGTTACTATGTTTTATGGTGTGATGATTTACTCCTTGGTTTGTATTTGAATAATGGACTAATCAATCTTATACAGAGCTGAGTTTCACCCTCTTGCTCTATTGGCTTATTTGTTGTTTTATTACTATAAAGGGCTATAAATATTTGGTCACCCTTGGAATCATATATACTACACAATTTTAGGTATCTAGCACCTTCTGTGCATTCATCCATTTTGTACAAACTACTTACACATGCATCCATTTTCTGTTTCAGATTGGGAGGCTAGCTGCTTACAATTGAGTCTTTGACTTGCTTTTGTTGTTGTCACAATGTCAGGCCTACTGAATGTATGTGCTTATCCTTACAACTGAAATATTGTGCTTTCACTTGATATCCCTATTTTCTGGTTCTGTTTTTTAATTTGTTTTCTCTCTGACCAGTTCATTCATCAAATAGTTTATTTATGGTGATGCTTTACGTGGATAACGGGCAATAAATTCATCATTCATGAAATAGTTGTCCTCTGTTATAACATAATGTCGATTTATTTATATTTTTATACCCACATTAGTATTTGTTATGACTGAACTATTGCCCTCTTTCTGTATTTCTTTCCCATCCCTATGCTGGTTATGAGTTCAGATGCTTCATATGAATTTGAAGCTTGACAGTTCACATAAGAACCATGATGGTAGGAAACACTAGCATTTATTGCCTAATCAAGCTATGCATGTGCAGGCACTGCACAATATGGGCTATGTCTTTACTAGTGGGAATGCAGTTTGATTGGGCACTATTTATTGTTTTATGTTGTTGCTTAACCTAATATGGTTTTGCTTTTGAGTTTTGAAGATAATAGTGCTTCCATATGGCCTGCTTTATTCTTTGTTTTGACAACTTGATGTTTTTTTCCTGGCAGTCAAACCTGAACAATTCTGCATCAAACCTTCAAGACTCATCTGGAAGACCGTTTACAGCATCCTTTTCTGGTCAATCTGGATCAGTTCCAGGGGCGTTCCATCACTCTGGTAAGCATATAATAAAATAACTTGGTTAATTTGTTGGCACGATGCCACATTCATAATGCTAAACCTCCTTGTCATTTTTCAAGGCTTGCACAACATCCATGCAAATTTTAATCTGCCAAATATGCCTGGATCGCTTGCTCAGAGGAATGCTGCCATGAGTGGCCTTCCATCCTCTGGGGTTCAACAGCCTGGAGGGAGCATTTCTGCAAGATTTGCTTCAAACAACCTTCCAGTTGGAATGTCTCAGGTTCTAATGATCCTTCGTCAATATTGCGATTATATTGTTTATGCTGATGGCTTATGTAAACTAAGGTACAGTGTTGCTGGTTGAAATGATTGCATAGTCTTGCCATGTTTCTGTTTTTGTTACAGCTTCCTCATGGGCATTCAGGAGTCAGTTCTAGAGTGAATGTTGGCGGAGGTCCAGCATTTAGTAGTAGCTTGAATATTGGAGGTACCATTCAAGGCTTATCCTCAAACTTGGGTGCTGGTGGTAATCGGAATTCTGTTCCTGGGATGTCAGTATCTCCAGCTTTGGGAAATTTGGGCCCTAGGATCACTGGTTCTGTAGGAAATATTGTGGGTGGAAGTAACATTGGAAGGAATATAAGCTCTGGTGGATTATCTGTGCCAAGCATAGCATCACGCATGAATTTGAGTGGCAATATTGGCAGTGGCGGTCTAAATGTCCAAGGATCCAGCAGGATGATGAATGGCATTCTTCAGCAAGGTAAATCTATTGAACATACTGCATAAATAGGTGGAATTTATTACTTCCTCCATCTGAAAATGTAGCTATTTCTGTCTGGACAGGACCCGGTCCAGATTCGTAGCCAGAAATCGCTACATTTTGGAATGGAGGGAGTACTCCGTAGAGTTTAATACTCTTTATGTGGTCATGCTTTCATGGCTGCATACTTGTTTCTCTATTCTTGTTATTTTTATCGTCAACTATTGTTTGTTAAGAAATGCTCTTCCATCGCAATGCTGATTTTTTGTTGAGTATATCTACTTACTATATTGTTTGCTTTTAGCTGCAAACTTAGCCCTCTTTTTCTTGACATCAGAGTTGGGCATATGAAACAAGTCCTCGGAAATACCCAAATGATAGGTATTTAATGAATTTTTAATTAACATTCTTAGTAGCTGCCAATAGTCTTCCTTGAGTAGGATTCCTGTGCTGTTACTAGCCAACTAAAAAGTTTTGGTAAGTGCGATTATAATCAGAAACAAGAAACCTAGTGCCTGAACAAGCTTCCTCTAAATGACCAATACCTCAAGTGAAATTCAGCTTGATGAAGCACTGACCACAACCTATCTGCTGGAGTAATTGGTGCTTTCACTCTGTTATCAAACACAGTATGGCTTATGCTTTATCTTATCTTTCATGTTCCCTTACCTGGGCAAGTTACTTGCAATAACTGCCTTTATAATGTGATTATAACACCCAAAGCTAATACATTCAGCTGGGCAATCTTAGTGTCCACTACTCCACTGCGACACTGCGTCCTAATAGAACACCAACCTATATCGGTTGCATTTGATAAAATTAAGATTATTAATGAAAATACCAACAATACTAGCATTTGATACGTGTCAAAGTTAGAGATAATATTGGTATTCCTCCTTTTTTTTTGCATGCATGCATCGGATACCAGAATATTAATTGCTTAATTTGATAATTGTTAATTTTGTTTATGGTTGTGATGTAATGTCTCTGTAATATTTTACTGTTTAACAAGTGGTATATTGTATATCAGTTTATATCTATTGAAGTGAAAGCCTGTGAGTCTTTGCATTCAGCCTTTTATTTTTAATCTCTGAGATCAGGATCGCCTCAAATGATGAACATGATGGGGAGTTCATATCCGACGTCTGGAGGTTCATTATCTCAGAACCAAATACAAGGAGGAAATAATTCCCTTGGTTCCATGGGGATGCTGCATGATGCCAATGACAGTGCTCCATATGACATGAATGATTTTCCCCAATTGACTGGTCGACCTAGTTCTGCTGGTGGTCCGCAAGGACAATATGGTAATGATTTCAAAGATATTTTTCATTAACTGGAAGGATACCTTGATAATTTCCTTAAATAGCAGGCTCACTGCGGAAGCAAGGAGTTGGTGTTAACACCATTGTTCAACAAAACCAGGAATTTAGCATTCAAAATGAAGACTTCCCAGCTTTACCTGGATACAAAGGTGGTTACAGCTATATTATTGTAGAACGTTCGTTGACATTCAGTGAGGGTGTTTTGATTAATTATACTTGGTGTATCATGCAATATCAGCTGCATGACTGTTACAATTTGTTGTCTCAACTTTCAACTGGCCCTCGCTAGCATGTCATAGAACTACGTGTTACAAAATCCATTTTGCTTTGACATTTTATCTTTTATGGAAGGCTGCCATATTTTTTCTTGCATTACTGAATAATTATAGTACCATTCATATACTTGCAATGGCATTCCCACTTTTGGTTAATTTAAGACGGCCTAAGGATGGGGCTACCGGTATGTGCTGGAAACTACAATTATGATATCGGAGCACTTGGGATTACAACAAATCATAATTAGACAATAGACATTGATGATCGACAATGAAAATGTGCTAACACGTTGCTTGGAGAAAAGGGTCGATCCGTTGATGTGCAACCGGCAAACATGTATAGAGGTCCTAGCAATCCCATTGTCTCAGTTTCCATTGCCAAAACAAGTACCCTTCAATTTGGGCATGAAATGGTATCTTATATTGATGGAGACATGATAACATCCACGTTGGTGAACCTTTTATTTACTTTTGACGACGGTAGTAAATGGTTTTCTTATCGTAACTCATACATAGTTTTTGGTACCCTCTTGTTATGTTTCTTGTTTTGGCAACATAGCCTAACCCATGGCTATCGTTTTGTTTATGAAAACTGATGGTCATACGGAAAAATGAACCAATAGGCAACACGTAAGGAGTTTTAGCAGCTGAACCATTACAAGATGTTCGAGTCCAATTCAATCGAGCGAATGTACAATTATATCTATCGTGGCAGTAAACTAACTGAAGGGAAACTTAGATCATCTGACCTAGCTGTGCCAACTAAACTTAGAACCTGGGAAATTTATCTTAGCGCCACATGCCTGGCGGTCACATTTTTGAGGCAACTGTGATCGAAGCCTTGAGGCAACTCTAAAAATTATGGAACTTATTTGGGACTATTAATGGCGGTGAAAAAATATTTGTGACTTTTTTTTTTTGCAAAACTTTAGGGCCCACAGATTTTGCTCACAGAAAGTTTGCAATATCCAACATTAACGTTTAAAAATATAGTTTAGAGTTGCTAATTTTTTTTCGAATGATACTTATAGTACATGGTTTGAATTTGGATTCATGGAGATTATGGACTAAAATTTTGGATGTTCCTTAATCTATTACTATTACAAGGGTGCATATTTTGGTACTAAGAGTTTATTACTGTCATACCTGTAAATTTGCAATAATTGCTATTCACGTTTAAAAGAAATTTTAGGCTTGCCAAAAATTTTATTCGAACAATACTTACAGTACGTGTTTGAGTTTGGATTCATGGAGATCATGGATTAAATTTCGGTATGTTTCTGGATTAAATCACTTAAAAAGGTGTATGCATATTTTGGCACTAAGAGTTTACTGTCATACCTGTCAATTTGGCGGGACATGGGCACCAAGCATCACAGCTTTGTTTTATTTTGTCCGTTGGTCTGCCAAAAATGTTTCCAACTTACTTGCCGCTTTTATGACTGCTTTGCTTCTTGATCTCTGTTGTCAGTGTCATGTATTTTGGATGGTTGTAATCTATTTCCTGCCTTTTGAGTTTATTACTTGTCACGTATTTAGATGGTCGTAACCTGCTACTTCAGTACTTGCCTTTTAATTTATTCCATGATCATAGGACATGCTTGACCTCAGATTGCTATTTAATCTTCTTTCTCTTTTGGTGCGCACTGTGCTACCATCTTTGCCCTTTGCTGAGTTGTGCAAAGTATTAACCTTTCGAATTATCAGGTAGCACTTCAGATTATGCTATGGAGTTGCATCACAAGGAACAACTTCATGATAATGTGCCTGTTATGCAAGCACAGCAATATCCGGTACATCCCTGTTTCTGAATTTTTAACAATTTCTTCTTTGTGTTTTTTTCTGACAAATTTGCACATTTACACAGATGTCAAGGTCAGTTGGCTTTAATTTAGGAAGTAACTACCCACCAAATCGTCAGCAACACCAGCAAGGTGCTAATTCAGTAAGTACTAATGGAAATTCTTAAAACTCTAGCAATCAATGTCTACCGCGTTTACCATGGTTCTGATCAGGCATATATCCAACTTTGCTGTTTTGATCCTTTGATGCTAGTAATAATGATCAATTATGATTTATCAGGTTCAGAATGCTGGTCCCCAAAATATCGGATTAAGATCTTCTGCAAGTCAAACTTCTAGTTTGGGATCATACGAGCAACTTATCCAACAATACCAGCAGCCTCAAACTCAAAATCCTTTCAGATTGCAGCAGGTGTCTTCAGCTACACAGTCATACAGAGATCAAAGTCTAAAGTCCATCCAGGGAGGGCAAACACCACCTGATCCTTATGGTTTGATGGGATTGCTGGGAGTTATCAGGATGAATGATGCTGACTTAGCATCTCTTGCTTTAGGAATGGATTTGACAACATTGGGTTTAAACTTGAACTCACCAGACAATCTATACAAGACATTTGGTTCTCCATGGTCAAATGAGCCAGCAAAAGGAGAACCTGAGTTTCATATTCCAGCTTGCTACAATGCTGAGCAACCTCCACCGCTACAAGTAAGCTGCCATTCATTGTGGTTATTTTTTAAGATGTGATAGTTGGCTGTACATTTACCATCTTTTATAGGATGTTGAGTATCATTATTTCCTAGTTTTTCTTAAACACACTTGGCATCTATTTGTCTTGATGTGTTTACTTCATGTTATTACATATATATATTGTAATGTATTCTGTCTTTTGCAGCCTATACATTTTCAGAAGTTCCAGACGTTAACGCTGTTTTACATCTTCTATAGGTACATCTACCATTAAGTGTGTTCCACTGAAATCATGTTAGGCAACAAATAACGTGATTATCATTTGTTTTTTTAAAGATTATCATTTTTCTTTGGTTTGCAGCATGCCAAGGGATGAAGCTCAGCTATGTGCTGCTAGTGAGCTGTGAGTAGACTGTTTTACTGGTCTTCTCATTTACATATCTTGTTGCTAGGGGTTGATTTTTATTTGCATGCATTGTCCTGCTTATCCATCTTTATGTGTCGCAAAGTCCAGTGCACTTCTATGACCCTGAGATAATTCTTAAAAAACCATTAAACTAATTGCTGCCTAGGCCATTGGAGCTAGTTTCCTCTAGTTACACATGATAAATATTTCTTTTAACGATGGGTGCAAACCGAGTGCATACTTTAAGTTAACGATTACCAGTGATTGGTCACATCATGGCCATCTGTCCACCAACACTTCCTAATATAAGGTGAAGTTGATATTGGGTTTGGATAGACCATGGACTGAAGCTGAAGTTGATAATGTCCCCCCTTCTGTTTCCTCTTGGAGGGTACTCTTTAATAATGACCTCTCCCTTTTAGTTTATAGACTTAATGTACATGAGAGAGCAATCCTATCACATGTTATGTGGGGAATTCCCTTCCATCGGCGCAATCGGTGGGATGAGCTCGGTACCGGACGAGGTACAGGACCAGGTGGCACGGTTGTTTAGTGCTGCTGTTTATCCCTTTCTTTTAGCAACATTAGTTGAAGTTTGTTAAGATGTTTTATCCCTTTCTTTTAGCATCATTAGTTGGATTGTAAGGCTATTTTGAGCCGGTTTGTTTATGGTTAATGCAAGCAAGAATTAATTAATGAAAACTACCGTGGGGGTCTCCCCCACTGTTTCCCGGTCAAAAAAAAAGCAAGAAATAATCTAATCCAATCTACAAACCTCGCCCTCCCGTTGAGCATTCATACTTGCTGCACAATCGGGGGCTACCACCCGTAGCCCCTAACATCTTGGTATCAGTTTCCACCGATCCTTCGCTCTCCAGCGCTTCCGATCCTGCGATGGCTGCCAACGACAACAACGACGACGTCTGGTGCCAGTGTTTCGAGGAGGTTCTGGAATGCCTCGACGCATTCAGTGGCCAAATCACCGACATCGATCAACAGCAACGGGCTCAGAATCTGGCCATTAATTGTCTGGAACATGGGGCTCATGCTCCGTCCTCTCGATTCGATGGCTAGAGCGAAGATGGCGGTTGCGCTGGTGGCCACCTCGGCCGCGCGGCAACTATCTAGGCCGTGGTGACCGTTTCGGTTGCGGCGGCGACGGCTTCGGGCATGATGAGGTCACCACGACCGCGGCGCCTTCCACGGACGTTTCGGTGGCTATCGCCACGATGGCGACGGCGTGGGCGATCGGCCGTCCCACTACCACAAGCTGGACTTTACCAAGTTCGACGGCCGCGGCGATCCGCTTCCATTCCTCAACCGCTTCGAGCAATTCTTCCGAGGGCAGCGTACACCCGAGGACGACATGGTTTGGCTGGTCTCCTACCACCTGCTCGATGGCGCTCAGCAGTGGTACACTCGCTTGGAGCGGGACCATGGTCTGCCATCATGGCGTCGCTTCTCGGACTTGCTGAACATGCGCTACGGTCCGTCGCTTCACTCGGTGCCATTAGGCGAGCTGGCGGCTTGCTGCCGGACAACCACCATGGACGACTACGCCGAGCGCTTCCTCGACCTCTTGGCTCATGCCGGCTCTCTTTGAGGATCATCAGGTACTATTGTTCACGGTTGGCTTACAAGAACCCTTGAGTCTGGATGTGCAGATGCAAAATCTGACAATGTTGGACATAGTGACGAGTTTGGTCCATTTGTACGAACGCCGCGAACAGGCAGCTCGCCACCCCTGCCGCGCCAAGCCGCCGGCGGGGGCCTCTTCCCATTGCCACAGGCAGCACATCAACCTGCGCCGGCCTAGGAACTGGGCGCCGCCGCCAAGGCACCTGTGGCACCACCCGTACTTTGCCGCGCCGTGCGCTGGCTGTTGCCCAAGGAGATGGACGAACAACGTCGCCAGGGCCTCTGCTTCAACTGCGACGAGCCCTACTCGCGCGGCCACAACCGTACTTGCCGCTGCTTGTTCTTCGTCGAGATGGCGGGGGTGCATCCGACGATGACTCCGCTGCTTCCCAGGATGAACCACGCGAGACCCTTCGGATTTCCCTACACGCAGCCACAGGCGTCCGTGGGTCTGACGCCATGCACATCATGGTCCGCCTGGGCGACGCCGACCTCTACGCCCTCACCGACTCCGGCTCGACGCACATGTTCCTCTCACAAGATGCAGCGACGCGTGTCGATCGAGCTCTCCAACCTCGCATAGGCCTCAACGTCACGGTGGCAAATGGCGACAAGGTGGCGTGCCCGGCGTCTTCCCCGACATGCTCTTCATGATCGTCGGCGAGGAGTTCGCGACGGATGTCTACGTCCTCACCTTGGGCGGCTACGACCTTGTGTTGGGGATGCAGTGGCTAGCGACATTGGGCCCAATCCTCTGGGACTTCTCGGTGCTCACGATGTCGTTCTGGCATCGGGACCACCATGTCACCCTCCACGGCTTGCTAGGCCACCAGCGGTCGCGTGCTTTGGCGTGCGCACCCTCGGCGCTGCTGGACTCCTGTTGGAGGAATTCTTCGATGTCTTCGCCGAACCAATGGGCCTGCCGCCATGCCGCCAGTCCGGGACCGCACCTACCGCATCCAGCTGCTGCTCGGGACGACGCCGATGGCGGTGCGCCCGTACTGCTACCCTGCCCGACACAAGGATGAGCTCGAGCGTCAATGCCGCGTCATGGAGGAACAAGGCTTGATCCGCCGCAACAAGTCGGCGTTCTCATTGCCGATGCTACTGGTGAAGAAGGCGGATGGCTCGTGGCGCTTTTGCGTCGATCTATCTGAGCGCTCGGTCAAGGGCAAATATCCCATCCCCGTCGTCGACGAACTCTTGGACGAACTGCACGGCGCCGCCATCTTCTCGAAGCTCGATTTACGATCCGGCTACCACCAGGTCGGGATGCACCACGACGAATCGACAAGACGGCGTTCCGCACTCACGATGGTCTGTACGAGTTCCTCGTCATGCCATTCAGCCTGACGAATGCGCCGGTCACGTTCCAATTGCTCATGAACGGCGTACTCCGGCCGTTCCTCCGCCGCTTCGTCCTTTTCTTCTTCGACGACATCCTCGTCTACAACCCGTCGTGGACGGCCCATCTGCAGCACCTGCGTTCGGTCTTCACTGTGCTACGGGCGGCCAAGCTCTTCATCAAGCGCTCCAAGTGTTCGTTCGGGGACCCAAGCGTCCTGTACCTCAGCCACATCGTCTCTTAGCAAGGGGTCGCCATGGACGCCACCAAGATTCAACCCGTGGTGGACTGGCGACGTCCACGGTCGCCCAAGAAGCTTCGCGGGTTCCTCGGCCTGGCGGGCTTCTACCGCAAGTTCATCCAGGACCTCGGCTCGGTGGCGGCGCAGCTCACCCAGCTCCTCCGCAAGGAGAGCTTAGCGTGGGCGCCGGCTGCCGCCGCGGCACTCCAGCGACTCAAGCTCACCCTCACCACAGCGCCGGTCCTGAGCCTTCCCGACTTCTCCGAACCGTTTGTGGTTGAGTGCGACGCGTCCAACAGTGGCTTCGGCGCCGTAATCCACCAGGGCGAAGGGCCCATTGCCTACTTCAGCCGCCCGGTGGCTATTCGACATCACGCACTCGCGGCATACCATCGCGAGCTCATTGGATTGGTGCAAGCTGTGAGACATTGGTGCACATATCTCTAGGGCCGTCAATTCATCGTCAAGACGGACCACTATAGTCCCAAGTTCCTCCTTGATCAACGCCTGTCCACCATCCCACAACACCATTGGGTAAGCAAATTATTGGGCTTTGATTTTGTGGTTGAGTATAAGCCTGGTAAACAGAACGCGACGGTCGACGCTCTGTCTCAACGCGTGGCGCTAGATGGCCATGCCTTTGTCCTCTCCGTGCCGACATTTGACTTGCTCCACGACATCCGCAAGACCGCCGCCATCGATCCAGCGTTGACGGCCCTCCGCGACGAGAATGCCTCCGGTGCACGCACGACGCCTTGGGCGGTGACCGACGGCTTCATCACCTACAAGCGCCGCATCTACATTCCGCCGGCCTCGCCGTGGGTGCCGATCGTCCTTGCCGCCGCGCATGACGATGGCCACAAGGGCATCCAGAAGACACTCCATTGGCTCCGTCGTGACTTCCACACGCTCGACGAGGCGTGACCGGCGCCTCGTCCACGATCATATCCAAGGCTGCCTCACGTGCCAACGCAACAAGACGGATCACCTACATCCGGCAGACCTCTCGCTCCCGCTGCCAGTACCGTCGGCGATTTGAGCCGACGTCGCAATGGACTTCGTTGAGGGCCTACCACGCGTCAGCGGCAAGTCCGTCATTCTCACGGTCGTCGATCGTTTCTCAAAGTATGCCCACTTCATCGCCCTCGCTCACCCATACACGGCGGAGACGGTGGCCCGTGCGTTTTTCACCGACATTGTCCGCCTCCACGGCGTGCCGGAATCCTTCGTCTCCGATCGAGATCCCGTCTTCATGTCGGCGTTCTAGACGGCCCTCTTCACCACCATCGGCACCAAGCTCCACCGTAGCTCGGCGTTTCATCCGACGGGTCGTCTGAGGCGGTGAACAAGGCGATCGCGATGTATCTCCGTTGCTTGACTGGCGACCGGCCCCGTCAATGGGTGCGGTGGTTGCCGTGGGCCAAGTACGTCTACAACACCTCGTTCCACGCCGCCCTACGCGAGACACCATTCAAGCTGGTGTACGGCCGGGACCCGGGTCCATCCGGACGTACGACGCCAGTGAAGTGTGGGTGGCGGCGGTGGCGCAGTCCATCGAGGAGCGCGACGCGTTCCTTGCCAACGTCCGCGTGCGCCTGGAGCAGGCTCAGCAGCACGCCAAGCACTATTATGATCGCAAGCACATGGAGGTGTAGTTTGACGTGAACGCGTGGGTGTGTAGGGGTGGGCAGAAAAAGACCGAACCGAAAAACCGAACCGAAATGACCGAGACCGAACTAACTGAGACCGAGAAATTCGGTCTGCACTTTCGACTAACTGTTAACAGTGAAATTTGGTAATCGGCAAAGACGTCATTGGCTTAGAATCATTATCGGCTGCAGCATCTCGGAATCAGCCGATGGGAGTTATCAAGTCGCCAATAGTCGGATTCCTGCCATAGTTAAGGATATCAATCTACTAAAGGAAGCTTATCCCTAAGTGACCGAGTTTAAAGAGGATGCGGCATGGCAGTTTATCTATTAATTAGGACTAGTTTGTTAGTTTCCTTTTATCTTTAGGAAAGTGTGTTTAGTGTCCGATAAGGACTTTATATTTTCCTTTTATCTTTAGGTTAGTTTCTTTCTTGTCCGACAAGGACTTGTATCAACTCATGGGTATAAATATGTACACCCGGGGTCTATGTAATCTATCCTCACGATCAATACAATTCGACGCATCGCCACCCTTTTTACATCTACTTTTATTTTATCGTCCGGCGGGACTTGGCACCTGACGCGGGGCTGCATCGGTGTTCGATCTCCAGCGAAGGGGTAAGTCCAATGTTCCGTCGGTCCAGGCAATTGTATCGTCTACGTCGGCGTCGTTTAAGGCTGCATCAGTACATTCGACCTCTTGGATTGCTCTGGTTTGGATGATATATTTGCTTACCTATTTATCATATGTCTCTATTAATCTAGTCTTAGCATATCAATTTAGCTCTATCGGCTGCTTCTCGTTTTAGGGTTTCTGCCGATATCGGCTAAATCGCGTTGCTAGATTAGATTAGCCTAGGCATCTATCACCCTAAAAATCAGTCAACGGCTTGATTGTCTAGATATTATGTTTCTTTTCATACTTAGTGCTGCATCAGTTAAGTTTGATCTACTAAGTCGTGCTTAGAACCATAATCTCTAGCCTGCTTCTTGATTGCCAATAAGGGTTTCATCGTGGTTTCAGCCGGTGAGTTATCGGAACGTTGCATCGGCTCATAAGGATTGCACATACATATAAGTTGGATTTCGCCGATGACAACAAAGGTTTCACTGTTTAATCTAATCTTGTGGATTTCATGACATCGGACCTCCAGCCGATGTGTGCTTTAACCTTCGGATCGATGCTTATTTATCATATCATTGCTAGCCGATTGGTTTATACTGGATTATATTATTATTTTATTACATCATCATCAGCCGATTGCCTTTATATCATTATCTACATTGGACATATAGCCGATTGCTTAAACCCTATCGCTATCGGCTATTATTGGCTACCGGCTGGAACTACTCCATCGGCTTGTCAGCCGATCGGCTGTTTAGATCTACTATTTGCATATCTTGTCAGTTGCAGGATCAAACTGACTGGCACGCCCGCATCTCATCAATATTTGGACCTGCACAGGAGGTAAGCAGATCTCCCAGGCCGGTGTGTTCGATTTTTTCGTTAACACTAACCGAATTTAGTTCAGTCAATTCGGTTTTGGACCTCGGTTAACCGAATTGACCGAAAAAACCGAATATATCACTGGCCCAAATGATACATATGACATGTCAGCCCATTAGGCCCAATATCTCCTCACGAACGACTAGGTACAAGCAAAACTCCACACGGCCGCACAACCAACCTTATCTTCCCGACCTCCCCAATCCCACAATCGAGTTTCGAAAAAAAAAGGGAATCCGCAGCGACGACCTTCACTGTGTCGGAGCCGCCCTTTCGCCTGTCGTGGCGAAAGAGATTGTGCTCCCTCCTGTGACCCTGCTGCAACCCGATGCTCTCTGGCATTTGATGGCTAGCCGCACCCCGTTGGCGAAAGAGGCTGTGCGTCGGAGACATCGATGGCGGAGGAGGTCAGTCGGGGATGAAAGCGACGGGAGCCGCGAGAACAGCGACGGTGGGACGACGAGATGGATGGGATCTGGAGCTTCAGGTGGAATGGTGGAGATCGACGGGATCCAAGTCATGGCAAGATCGATTTATTTTGGTTTGCTTCTTCTTTTTCTGAATCATATGCTCTATTTTCTAGTGGCATCATATTGTAGTTCTTCATCCGAGTTTGCTTCGATCAATTGATCTTGTATGGAGTACTTATTTCTTTGTGATTAATTTTTTGCTGTGTCAAGCTGTTGTGTTATGGTTAGTTCGGTCTATGACCTAGACCGAACCGAACTAACCGAAGACTGAATTGCTCTGTCTTGATTTTTCTTGAAGACCGATCGTGATTCTAAAGACCGAATTTTCCAAAAGACCGAGTAACCGAACCGAATTTTTCGGTTAGACCGAATGCCCACCCCTATGGGTGTGGCTCCGTGTTCGTCACCGCGTTCCTGCCTCCTTGCCGGACACTGTCAAGGACAAGTTGCGGCCGCGCTTCTATGGGCCGTATCAAGTCGTCGCCGTCATCAACGAGGTTGCCTATCGGCTTGCTCTACCACCCGGTACTCGCCTGCATGATGTGATCCACGTCGGACTGCTTAAACCGTTTGTGGGTGTGCCGCCGTCCTCGCCGCCAGCGTTGCCGCCAATAAAGTGTGGGGCGGTGCAGCCGGTTCCACGCCAGGTGGTTTGTGTGCGGTTGGTGCATGGGGTTTGTCAGCTATTTGTTCAATGGGAAGGGCTACCGGCGTCGGCGGCGTCTTGGGAGGATTTGGATGATTTTCGCAGCCGCTATCCTTTGTTCCAGCTCGCGGACGAGCTGCTCGTCGAGGGGGGGGGGGGGAGATGTTATGTGGGGAATTCCCTTCCGTCGGCGCAATCGGTGGGATGAGCTCGGTGCCAGACGAGCTACAGGACCAGGTGGCACGGCTATCCCTTTCTTTTAGCATCATTAGCTGTATTGTAAGGCTATTTAGAGCCGGTTTGTTTATGGTTAATGCAAGCAAGAATTAATCTAATCCAATCTACCTTCTCCTCTGTCTTTCTCTGTTCTTCGTCACGGCTCCGGGGTGGCAAGGCTACAGACCTCGCCCTCCCGTCGAGCATTCGTTCTTGCTGCGCAATCGGGGGCTACCACCCACAGCCCCTAACATCACATTGGGTAAACCTTTTGTAAATATTTTTTCTAATTAATATATTCTAACTGTGTGGGCTTCCACGACAGTGATTACCCTAAAAAACGCAGACCTGTATTAGATGGGCAAGACCTGCATCTTGTTGGGCTTGTGTTGGAGTGGGCAGGCTGGGTTTAGGTTTAAATTAGTCGACTATCCATTGTTTTTAGGATTAACTCCATACTACACCCCTCAACACCAATTATCTTTAGTAATTTTGCATATATATTTATTTATTTTCTTGAAAGGGTACACATAGGACTGACTTGTTTGTAATCCGCATGGAATACTACTACTACCTCACTACACTAAAAAGTGTTTCATATCCTGACCGTTGATTGTATCGCAGTCTCAAGCTGTTTGGTTTTCTATGTCTATTTTGTTCATTTAACCTTTCAATTGATAAAAGCTATCTTTCCCATTATTCATTTCGTTGATATTTATCTCTGCTTTGTGTGCCTTAATGCTTGAGTTAGCCATTTTAGGATATTTGCTATGCATTTACTTCCTTAGAGTTTTATTAATATTACTGCATATGACAAATATGAGTAACCTTACCCACCATGAAGTGCAGCACAGCACAACCAAATACCAAATTGAGTAAATCTTCTGTCCATCTTTTCTGCAGTTACAACCGAGGATGGTTTTATCATAAAGAAGTGCGAGTGTGGCTCACAAGAATTCCAAATGTTGAGCCTCTGGTCAAAACTCCTCATTATGAACGAGGGTCTTACGGTTGCTTTGATCCAAACAACTGGGAGACAATCCGCAAGGTTTGGTCAATGTAAAGTTATATCATGAGATTTACTTTTGTGCAAAATTGTGAATTATAATTGGGTTTCTCTCTCTGCAGGACAATTTTGTTCTTCATTATGACCAAATAGAGAAGAAGCCAGCTATCCCATCTTCGTCCCAAACTGTTAGGGGAAACATTTCTTGGTAAGTACATCTAGAAACCCAGATATTCTTCCAGTGTCTGTACAAAGGCAATCACCTTATATTGTTATGTGCCCATAATTTTTGTTCAGATACCTCCTGCTCAAGAACCTTCTTTCATCGGGAGGAAGAAACTTTTGTTTATGCTGAGGGCACAATACCATTGCCTAACTCATAGGGTAAGTATATTTTGTCTTGTTTTCACACCTACGGAAGCTAATGCTAGATGCTAGATGTTACTCCCTCCGTTTCACAATGTAAGTCATTCTAACATTTTCCACATTCATATTGATGTTAATGAATCTAGAGATATATATCTATCTAGATTCATTAACATCAATATGAATGTGGGAAATACTTACATTGTGAAACGGAGGAAGTATTAAGTAATAATCACACCTACGGAACTTTGCTGCCTAATTAATATTGTTTGAAAGAAGACATCTGCCTGTGTTTGAATTAAGTTTATTTGTTCTAGATAAATTAATTTAGGGTTTACTACTGACGTACTTGAATAATTATTGCTGATATCTAGCATAACAAAATAAGGCCTCGGGAAAACTTTGCTCATTAGTGAGAATTTCCATGTCCTGCATTTAATCTGTGATACAATATTATGGTTCATCGCTGCTTGTCTAATCTCTTTAATGAGGCGTATTGTGTAGTTTGAAAATAACATGGCTGCCTTTGTTTTGCTTTTGATAGGACAGAGAAAACTCATAGCTAGACCATGCCGATCTGCAGAGGGGAGGCTGCAGAACAAAAGCGGGAATGCCTGCTTAGCCCTTGTAATTAGAGTAAAATGGTGAAGGTTTCATTTTCTGTTTCATACCCTTTGAGCAAAAGTTCCTTTAGAACTTCCCAACTTTTAGGAATAAAAGCTTTCTTTACCGTTAAAGCTTCTGGTGACGAAACTTGGTTGGCTTTGCACATATCGACGTTAGTGTTTACCCTTCTTTTTAAAGAGTTAATTTGCAGACAATACTAGGCGCCAGTTTGGTTTGATGCACCACCAAGATTTCGGTCCTACTACCAGGCCAATTTGCCCTAACAACTAGTTTTTGGTAGGAGTGGTTTTGAATACTAAGGGCGCTCACAATGCTCCTCCGTGGCATTCGGCTCCCCAGCGAATATTCGGTGCCATGTCCGCTTGCATCGTGCCCTCCTGAAGTCTGCGTGACCAAACATGGTCATGCGTTCCTCAATCCAATCCAGGGCAAGTGGCGTGCGTAACAGAGAGGAAGATGATGTGTCATACTGACATGGGGGCGAGCGGTGCGGGCAGAGAGGGGCGTCGGCGTGGACATGGCTGACAGCGAGAGGGGCGTCAGTATGACATGGGGCTTACAGCATGTCATATTGACATGTGGGCGGAGCTTGCGAGAGAGAGAAGAAAGAAGGGAGAGAAAAGGGGAAACAGAGAGGAAGATGACGTGTCATACTGATATGTGGGGCCCATGTAGGTTCCACGCTGACTTAGCCGCCACGTAGACCAAAACCAGGATCAAAACAGCCGAAGGATCTCTGGTGACCGGTTTTGTATAGTTAAGAGACCCCGTATATCTAGTTTTGCGGTTCGATGATGTTTTTTATCTCGCTGACAAGTTGAGGGACCTTTGATGCACTTTTTCCGCGAGAAAACAAGAGAGAAGTCACGTGTGTTCATCTGTCCATCCAGGATTAGTGCCATTCTTTTTCTTTCATGGGCTTTTTTTCCTTGATGGGCCAACTAGGCCGCTTCACAATGCCACTTTGGGCTATGGGGTTTGGCTCATTTGGCTTGCGAGCCAGCTCGAGCTGGCTCGTTATATGAAACGAGCTAAAACTCTGTCTCAGCTCGTTAACAAATCCAAACGATCCAAGCCGAGCCGAGCTAGACACGAGTCAAGCGAGTTAACAAGTCACGAGCTTTTCGTTTAGCCCTAGGTCCAATGCACCAAAATCTAATAGCACTATCTCAGCAGATCAGGCTCATCATGTAACTCCCATGGATAAAATCACTAGTGCTCCTGATGAGTCTGCATCCGAAGCAGTTAGCTTCCAATTCCGAAATTCAGTTCCAAGAGAAGATATAGCACTTGCTAAGAAAATGTGAAGGGAAAACACATAACAAAACTCACTGCAGATTGAAACTTAAGGTCGGCCCGTCCTTAAGGGCGTGCAACCTGTCTGCTCGCGCAGGGCCCCCATTTTTCGGGGGCCCCCTAGGCCCGCCTTCATGCTCATTGGCCCAATGCACAGGAGCAGAAGGCCTGGTGGCTGGTGGGACTGTGGGAGCGTTCGCTCAATCAACAAGAGACGCCGCCGCACGCGCGACGGTTTGTTTTCCCTTTTTTCATATCGATCGCCCGTCTACTCGTCGTCTCGTCTGCCGTCGGCGGCTGCCTCGTCGCTGGTTGCTCACTCGCTGCTCTCGCCCAGGCGCAACATTACCCGCTCGACGACTCATTTCGTTGTTGTTGGCTGCCCGAAAGGCCCTGCCGGTGTGCTGCACCTGCTGCATCTCTGCACCACGGCACCAAGCCGGCCACCAACATACCAGCGATCCAGCATTCCAGCAAGCACAAGCTGCACAATACAGCTGCACGCCTCATCTGGTGAGGGAATCAATTAATATTTAAATATTTTCCAATTTTAGTGTATAGGTTTATCTAGTAGATATTATAGTATGTACACTAAATTAAATTTATTGTTTTCATGTTTTATGGAATACGTGCATGTTTATGTAGTATTTTAATTAGCTTTCAAATCATATTTAAAAATATGACTCCGGTTGTGAACAGCGGAAAAGGAAAAACAAATAGAAGGTCCAATTCAATCTCAGAAAGGATTATCCGATAACCGAACAACTGATGTTAATGTTTCCAATCAACACTAAAAGAATGACGCTTTTCAAGCGAAGATATATAAAAGACATATTTTTTTTTCTATGTTATGTTGCTACAAAACATATCGTGGATTATAATTTGCTATTGTTTTATTTCACCACTTAAATCTAGACAACTTTTAGATTTCACACAGGGCCCCCTAATTCTACGGGACGGCCTGCTTGTTTTATTATCTTCCCAATCTACTCTTTTCCTCTCGTTAGCAACTGTGACCTATGCAACAATCAAATGCATGCTGCTAAAATAGCCCAGCTAGATGGGCAGGTGGGCACTTGTATAACCTGGTATAAAGATCAAACCACGTATAAAAGGGCTGCTACCACCTTGATCTTATTATACGGGCGGCTTTCATGCACGTACGTCGATTACTGATGTAGACCATATAAACATGGTGTACTAATGCTCGTAACAGCACGTAGTTTAGCCGCCCACTCAACTAGGGGTGAAAATGGCTTAGACCATATAAACAGAGTGTACTAATGCTCGTAACAGCACGCAGTTTGGCCGTCCACTCAACTAGGGGTGAAAACGCAGTCAAACTACTTTAAATTTAGCTGATTCTAAAGAAAAAAAGGTAATATTTACAACACCAGTATAGTTTCATTAAATCTATAATGAAATAAATTATCATAATATATTAGTCTTAGGTTAAAAGTATTACTATTTTTTTCTATAAAATTAGTCAAACTTAGAATATTTTGATTTTGACTAAAGTCAAAAACATCTTATAACTTAAAACGGAGGGAGTATCTTCTATGCACTCTTAAGTTCTTCACATGACATTTAACAATATTCGGTTGCAACACACTGACATTTAGCTAGTACATCAAAAAAACCAATAACAACTGAAAACCGTACAGATTATCTCTTTTTTAGGTTTTTTTTAGCTCCTCAAATAAATTGAAGCTTGTGGGATCGTTTATTACCGGGGGAGAGTGGTTGCCAATTATAATTTCTTAACCACGGTGCACCAAATCAAGCTTCTTAAATAATTACTCGGCCATCACCTTCAACCCAAGATAACAGAACTTAACTGCATGTAATAATTCAACATCATTCTAGTTCGTTGTCTCCAACCTAGCTTTTGTGGCGATGACGACCATGACAAAGTAGCTCACGCCATGTAAAACAACACTTCACCGGTGCATCCTATGACACCCTCCTTGGAAAAACAAAATTCAACGTAGTATACTTGTGCTCTTTGTAGGCTTCTTCCCTCGGTTTCTTCTATGCAAAACGTCGGAAATATTTTTTTTGTTCACTGTTTTATTTGTTGTTGTTAAAAAAGGGGGGGGGGGGGGGGGTTAATGTCGCCTATATAAGCAGCCATTGTACAGTCCAAAACTTGCATGCAAAAAAAAAAAACAAGAGAAAAGCATAGTAAAACACACTCGAAATTAATGGGGGACGCCACGATGATCGCGTCGCCGTTCCCGGCGGTGGAGAAGTGTTCGTCCAAGGACCGCGGCGGCGACACGATCGTCGCCGACCTCGACGGCACGCTGCTGTGCGGCCGGAGCTCGTTCCCGTACTTCGCGCACATGGCGTTCGAGACGGGGGGCGTCCTCCGGCTGCTGGCGCTGATCCTGCTGGCGCCGCTCGCCGGCGTGCTCTACTACCTGGTGTCCGAGTCGGCCGGCATCCAGGTGCTCATCTTCGCGTCCATGGCCGGCGCGAGGGTCGCCGACGTTGAGGCGGTGGCGCGCGCCGTGCTGCCCAAGTTCTACTGCTCCGACATCCACCCGGAGTCGTGGCGCGTGTTCTCGGCGTGCGGGCGCCGGTGCGTGCTCACCGCGAACCCGAGGATGATGGTGGAGGCGTTCTTGAAGGAGTACCTCGGCGCCGACATCGTCGTGGGCACGGAGCTCGTGGTCTGGCGTGGCCGCGCCACGGGGCTCGTCCGGAGCCCCGGCGTGCTCGTCGGCGAGAACAAGGCGGCCGCGCTCCGGGAGGCGTTCGGCGACGCCTCGCCGGAGATCGGCATCGGCGACCGGAGGACGGACTACCCGTTCATGAGGCTATGCAAGGAGGGGTACGTGGTGCCGGTGTCGCCGACGCCGAGGCCCGTGCCGCGGGAGGAGCTCCCGAAGCCGGTGGTGTTCCACGACGGCCGCCTGGTCCAGAAGCCGTCGCCGGCGCTCGCGCTGCTCACCGTGCTCTGGATCCCCATCGGCTTCGTGCTCGCCTGCCTCCGCATCGCCGCCGGCGCGCTCCTCCCGATGCGCGTGGTGTACCACGCCTTCCGCGCCCTCGGCGTGCGCGTCACCGTCAAGGGCACCCCGCCGCCACCGGCCAGCCGCGAGACCGGCCAGTCCGGCGTGCTCTTCATCTGCTCCCACCGCACCCTCCTCGACCCCATCTTCCTCTCCACCGCCCTCGGCCGCCCCATCACCGCCGTCACCTACTCGGTAGTACACATGATCACACCACCACCAACTCCGGCGAGCAGCTAGCTCACCAGCTAACTCGCCGGTGCATGGAATTTATATTAACTTTTGAATTTTTCTTTTTTTATATTAAAAACAAACTATTCTATAGCTTATTTTAGAAAGTTGAACATTTTAATCACGCCAGCCTGTGTCTAACATGGCAAAATGACACTGTCGTGTCAAGCGTGACAGTTTTGTTCTGCTACGTTACCTAGGGTGGTGTGGCAGGACAACGCTGTTAGGCTAGCCAGACCTGTATGATGCCAACTCGGCTAACATGGTCAAAAAAGTTTAGATGTTGATAATAAATCTTAGAAAGGTTTATTTTTAAATTTTAAAATTTAAGTTGTTCAAAATTTTAAAAATAAAAATCTTGGTGCGTGTCTGAACAGGTGTCGCGGCTGTCGGAGATATTGTCGCCGATCAGGACGGTGCGGCTGACGCGGGACAGGGCGGCGGACGCGGCGATGATCCGGCGGCTGCTGGCGGAGGGCGACCTGGTGATCTGCCCGGAGGGGACGACGTGCCGGGAGCCGTTCCTCCTCCGGTTCTCGGCGCTGTTCGCGGAGCTCACCGACGAGATCGTGCCGGTGGCGATGGAGAACCAGATGAGCATGTTCCACGGCACGACGGCGAGGGGGTGGAAGGCGCTGGACCCCTTCTACTTCTTCATGAACCCTAGCCCCGGATACGTGGTCACCTTCCTCAGCAAGCTCCCCGGCGAGCTCACCTGCAACGGCGGTGGCGGCGGCGGCGGCGGCCGGAGCAGCCACGAGGTGGCCAACTACATCCAGAGGCTCATCGCCTCCACGCTCTCCTACGAGTGCACCAGCTTCACCAGGAAGGACAAGTACAGGGCGCTCGCCGGCAACGACGGCACCGTCGTGTCCAAGCCCAACATCGACGAGAAGAAGGCCATGGGATGTTAATCTCACTGGAGCTTAATTACGTGATTAATTAATCATCTTTGTTTAAGAAATGCCAATAATACAGGCTACGCGCGCGCGCCTCTGTTCTTGACTCCGGGGTGTTGATTTGGCGCGTGCACGTGTAATCACTTGTTGTGCTTGTGAATTGGTCTTGTTAACGACTTGAATTTTACTTTTGTGGAGGGTAAACGGCTTAATTTTGTCTGGATGCAAAAAAGTAAGCAACCAGGTCTATGTATAAGAAAAAAAAATTACAAATCTAGTTACTAATATAAGTATTAAGTATAACTGATGTTTGCATGGACTAAATGCACACATTAGCAAGCAACCAGAACCAGGGCCTATGCATAAGAGAGAAAAAAATTATACAAATCTAGTTACTGGTATAATCATTAACTATAATTGACTGATATTTGTATATGGACAATGGACTAGTTGACGCTAAACCTAAATATATATCTTCTTTTACTACGTGCAGATTTCGTGTCAGATTGAACCGGATCACCCGATCATGCATCTGTTGTGATCTTGGCCGAGCCCATGTCGTACGCGTTCAGGTTGGTGACCTTGACGTCCGACTCGCCGTTGTTGAACACGAAGAGGCGCGCCTTGTCGCCGACGGCCTTGGTCGGGTACACCCTTGCGAGGATCGCCGTCTTCCCGTGCCCTCCGAAGCTCTCCACCACCGAGTGATCAATCTGCATATCAAACCAAACAGCGTTAAACATCATTAGCAATTACAAGCAAATTACATTGGACGTGGATTTTCATCCCTCGTTGTTTGTATGTCATCTAAATAGTTATTAATTTTTTTTAAAAAAATTGACAATATAGATTAATATGAAATATATCACTTCACAAACATGCAAGACTAAATTTAACTTCTACAAGTTGCAAAAAAATATAAATTAAACCGAAAATAGTTATGGTACATTCACATCTATATTTATTATTTTTGTTACAACTTGTAGAAGTTAAATTTAAACTTGCATGTTTGTGGAGTGATATATTTCATATTAATTTATGTTACCAATTTTTTTAAAAAAATTTTATGACTATTTAGGTGGTATGCACGAAACGAGGGCCCCTCGAGGATAAAATCACTTTTCCAATTACATTGATGAATCAACGAAAGAAAAAGATTAATTACCAGAGTTCGTAGGGAAATCTTGCCGGTGGGGGCGATGTCGACGTCGACGAAGCCGGCGTACGTTGGCTTGTAGAGTTGCTCGGCGTACGACGACCTGGACGGGTCGTTGCACGTGAGGACGACGTGCTTCTTGCCGCCGTCGACGCGGGCGACGTCGGCGTCGTCGCGCTTGAACACGCTGAAGAACACGGCCGTCCTCTCCTTGAGCTCGTCGGAGGCGAGCACCCACAGGCCGAACGGGCCGACGCCGCCCCTGGCGTCCGCGCCGCGCGCCGCGCACACCGCCTGCGCGTCGGCGCCGCGCCACGCCGGGTCGAACGGCTCGGCCTTGTCGAGGTCCATCACCTGGAACGTCGCCTCCACGTCCGCCTGCGCCGGCGTGGCGAGCCCGGACACCTCGAAGTAGTTCCCGCCGCCGCCGCCCCTGACGAGCTTGTCCGTGACGTTGACGTGGTTGCCGCGGAGGGACTCGATCTCGGCGACCGGCCACTGCATCAGCTGCTTGCCGTCGGGCGCCAGCCAGACCTTCCTCGGGATCGCCTGCACGCCGGCCCAGCCCTTGCGGACGTCGTCGGCAGCGGAGTCCGACTCGTTGGCCCAGCCCCACAGCACGCGGCGGTGCCTCGCCGTGTCGAGGAACGTCTTGGACGCGTAGAAGTTGCCATAGTCGTAGCGAAGCCCGTCGTCGCCGTCGGCGAGCGCCGCGTCCGGCACGTACGCGTCAGCGGCGTGGTCATACTCCCCGAACGTGTAGTACTCGTACCTCTTCAGGTCGAGGCTGACCTCGAGCACGTGCTTCACCTTCACGCCGCCGCCGCCGCCGACGCCGTGGGAGGTGACAACTGTCGAAACAAGATTTCGGCAATAATAAAAGGGGTGGCTATCAAGCTAGGAAAGTGGATGGGTTTGGAGACGAAGAATTTTATACAGGTTCAGGCCTTCTTATTTAAGAAGTAATACCCTACTCCTGTCCGGGGATGATTCCGCCGAGTGTGTTATTGATTGTATAAACTGGAAAAAAGAACCGTCCCAAAAGGAACCCGGACCCCTCCTTATATAGGGGAATGGATCCGTATTACAAAGTACAGTCCATATCCTAACGGAATATGGGATTACAGATAAAATATAATTGTAACCGACTAGGATCCCGGGTATTTTCTTGACATACAAGTTTAGAATCTAACCCGAGCCCTCGTAAAGATATTCTATCTATATTTGGTACCGTATATCCAGCTGGAATATAACCGCCATGTAGATATGGGGTAACCATAATCTCCACAGTAGCCCCCGAGACCTTCGCAGTTGACCAAAATAGTCTTCTCGAAACAAAAAACAATAATCCGAGTGCTTCAATTCAACTTGCTCCGGCTTGCCGAGTGCTAAAAGACTGTGAAGGGCGAAAATAAAACATGGTGCATCGAGTAGATGCACCTAATTAGGTGTAGCCCCCGACTATGTGATTAGTTGAAAAACTAAACATATAGTCAAGAACCGAGTGGTTTTATAGCAAAACCCGCATGGTACTTAGTAAGATACCCAGTCGACTGCTTCTCAACTTGAACTTATCAATGACAAAAAAATATAAGAAGGGCCGAGTGATAAACACTCAAAGGTCCAGAAATAGACATGTTCGATAGGAATCCGAGTAAAAATCTCATAAAATGATCCACCAAACATGATAGAAAATCATAGTAATTAATGAGTCTAATAGCTTAGGCTGTGACCCTTACCATAAACAAAATAAGCATATAACATGCTAAAAGAATGACTATTAATAAATCAGTCATCTCAAATCAACCCAAACAGCTTTTGCAGCCTAAAAAAGCTTATAAAAATGGTATAACACCTTTCTGTCGGGCACCTTTTCATATGCATCATAATAATTCCAAAGAATTATTGAATCGCGTTAAAAAGGATTTTAACAGCATCGGGCCACATCATTGTGAGCACATATTGCCAAAGCAAAAAGCGCCTAAGTCCCTAGGGATCACAATGGGCCACGCTGAAAACATAATTGGGCTGAAGTACTGTATAGGCCCAGGTCCATTAGTACTTCCGATACTTTGAAAACACCGAAGTCCAAACGTCGTTTCGTCTTCCCCGCCGAGACTCTCGCCATTCCCCACTCCGTGCTACAGTATAGAACCGCGCCGACGAAGCTAGGGTTCATCAATCTGCTCCAACCCACCATCAAAAACTTCGTGAAATTTCTCCCCGCGTCCACCGCTCCGATTCCCCATTCCTCTCCAGCCATATCTCGGACCAAATTAAACCATCCAGTTCACATTCATGGCGGAAGAAAGAGAAAGCTTCGAGAGTCAGTGGGCGCCCTCCGATGTGACAGAAGATAATCTGAAGAAGATGGTGGCGCACGGCGTTCTCCCAGCGAAGGAGATTATCGGGTGGCGACCGGCGTTCGGCGAAGCATTCCCGACCCCCGACACACACGAAATCGTGGTATTTGCTCATTTCTTCTATGGCGGATTTTCTCTTCCAACCTCAAGATTCTTCCGGGGGATTCTGAACTTCTACGGGATTAGCTTGCATCACTTGAATCCAAACTCTATAGTGCATATTGCCAATTTTATCCATGCCTGCGAAGTTTTTCTGGGCATTAGGCCTCATTTCGCCTTGTTTCGCTGCATCTTCTTCCTCAAGCCCCAGCCAAACAAGAGAAAACCGTGCGTTGTTGGGGGAGCTGGTTTCCAACTCAGAGGAACCTTGAGCCAAAAATATTTCTCCATGCCCTTCAAAACCTCAAACAAAGGTTGGCATGCAAACTGGTTCTATGTTCAGAATCCTGAGCCCGCACTCCCCGAGTACTACTGTCTTCCTCCGGTTTACCAGGACACATGGAACTCATTGCCTATGGGAGATGAAGCTGCTTAGGCAGTGGAATTGATGGAACGCATGCTAAAACTGAAGGAACAAGGTTTGCAGGGAGAACAGATCACTCGGCACTTCATCAAAAGTCGATTAGCTCCAATCAAAGAGAGATCCCGCACGGCTTTTGAGTTTGATGGCAAGCATGATCCAAATCGGGAAGATCCAGATTCTCTTGACTTTAAGGTCATGAAAGAAAGAATGTACAAGATCTTCTCAAACGCTATTGTTGTCAGCTATTCACATCTGCTGCCCGTTGTGCCATTCAATGCATTCAACCCTCCTCCACCGGTATGCACTCAAACATCTCAGCCTTTCTCAAAATACAATCTTATCTGTTTGTTGAATCAGTTAACGATAAAGGATATCACGCCCAGGAATTTGCTTTGATGAAGTCGGATCCCCCAATCGCTCAACGCCGATCTCCTCACCACCAAACTGGGCAAGGGAGCGGTGGACCAAGAATTCGGTCTGAAACTCAACCAAGTGCTCCTGATCCAGTCGGCCAGCCAAATTCTCACAAGAGGAAGCTAGTTTTAAGCGACGATGAAGGCGACACTGCTAGAAAGCTTGGAGACCGAGAGGCAACCAAAAAACTGCCGAAGTAGTCTACTCTAAGGAAGAAAACATCCAGTCGTCCTGTGCCAAAGATCAGGAAGTCTTCCAGGTATAACTCCTACAATGATCTCCCTTGCGGTGATGCGCGCTCGGTGCAACAATAATGCTGATAATCGAACTTGCAGGAAACCATCTGATATAGATCCTTCTAGAAAAGACTCTGACCCGGCCGGCAGGGAAGCGGATCCCTCAAAAGAAACCGGGCCGACTGCAAAAGATCACCCGAGTGATAATCCGCAGGCAAGCGACAATGTAGAACCCAGCGACGAACCCCCGACTGTGAGCCAGTCGGCCGGAGTTGGAGTCGGAGTTCACCAGGAGCCCCCGACTGAAAACCAGTCGGATACAGGGCCAAGCCAAAAAACTCCCGAGGTTGAAGCTCAAACAAACAGTCCTCCCGGAAAAGAAGCTGGCAACGACTCAGAAACCAGATCTCCTGTGAGGACACAAGAGTCCACCCGTTCCCGACCGGGAATTATCACAGGTAAACACACCATCTGAGATCATGTCGATCCAACAGCCTTTATTTGATCTCCTCACCTTTATTCACGAATACACTAGGGCCAATGATTGGTGATGAAGAAGAGATCCTCCGGATACAAGCAGCTGAGGATTCACGCCCTCCCATTCTGGTCAAGTGGTGGGATGACAACATGCAGCCTCAAGGAATCGTAATAAATAAGCAAAAAGAAGACGAGGAGGTATGCTTGCTGAAAAAGGCGCTCAACCAAGCCACCCGTATTGTAAATGTAAGCTCTTTGGCGCCTGACCTCAACCGTCTCGTTTGCCATTTAATCTAGGCGCTAATTAAACTGTCTTGCAGAGGATTCATCTTAGAAACGAAGCTAAAACGGCAACCTTAGAGAGGCTAGTCCCTCATCTCGGGACCCTCGAAGCCACCAGGAGTCAGCTGTACGAAACAAAAGAGCTTGCCAGGAAAAATGAGCATGATCTGAGGGATTGAATTGCTGAGCTTCAGGAATCCAATTTTGAACTGAGTGGCTCATCAAAAGGTACGCACAAACTCTGCCCAACTAACTTGTGCCGTTGTCTTTGTAATCATGATTAACCGGGGTTAATGTAGTGCAAGCAGCCAAGATATCTCAGCTGGAGAAACAGATCCGAGATCTGGAAAATGACAAGACAAAGCTGGCAAGACAGAGGGACTCAGCTTTAAAGGAGGTTGAAAGTACTATCGATTAATACTCCAAAAACCATTGCCTTTTGTATTCTGACTCGTTAATATGAATCTGTTAATGCAGACCGCAAGATCAAGTCTCAAGCTCAATTCGACGTCCTAGTTGGCAAGATCAAAAAACTTGAAGGAGCCCGGGATGAGGTTGCTAACGCTGCTGCCCCAATTGTTCAAGCGATGTTCTTCAATAACCACGGCCCGAGTGCACTTGATGCTTCTGAAATTTTTGACAAGCTGAGAGTTGCTCCGGATACATATTTCAAGAACATCAAAGAAGCTGGAAGTATGGGAGCAAGTCTGGCGTTGGCGATGACCAAATCTCTCTATCCGAGGGTTGACATTGATGCCATTGATGGCTTTGCAGACGGGACGAGCGAAGAAGCTGCTCTTGACCTTATCAGTGATGCACAGAAAGCCGCTGACAAGATTGCTGCTGATGTAGTCGAGAGATTTCAGGACACCGATCTTCGACCGACTGGTCCTGATAATTCTGATGATGAAAAGACTGATACTGATTAATGTACCAATGGTTTTGATGATTAATGATGGTGGAGGCTCAATTTGTACAATACTGATGAATTTATGCTATGCTTGGTGTTCCATACCTAGCTTCTGATTTCTTAAAAGCCTTTGTCAAGCCTTATTGAGCCTAAAACTGGCAAAAGCTATTAAAAACCTTCAGTCCTCATTGGCTAAGTCGAAAGACCAAATAGGGCAATGATAAATCAAGTAAGCAAATTGAATTGATAAAAATCACACTCCATTATTATCATAGTATCCCCCTGACTGAAAGCTTCAAGGAAAAAACTTGAAGTTAGCAGTCAAAGAGGAGAGATACAAACGAAATGCCTAAGCATAAAATCGACGAAGGTGTTCAATATTTCAAGAATTGTTGATGAGAGTACCGTCTTCGCGCTTGAGTCGATAAGAACCTGGCCGAGTAACTTCAGCAATTATGAACGGTCCTTCCCATAAGGGAGATAATTTATGCCGATCCTGTGTTGTTTGAATTTTCCTCAGAACCAGGTCGCCGACTAAAAAGGCTCACGATCGAACATTCCGATTATGATAACGGTGCAACCCTTGCAAATATCGAGTCGACTGAATCAAAGCTGCTTCTCGGGCCTCTTCTAGTCGATTGATGTCGTCTACTCGGCCCTCTTCATAGCCCTCCTCGTTGAAGTTCCGAAATCGTAGTGATTCAAATTCCACTTCACTTGGCAACATTGCTTCTGCGCCATAAACCAAAAAGAACGGCGACTGGCCGGTAGCCCGACTAGGAGTAGTGCGTAAAGACCAAAGTACGGACGGCAGCTGATCTACCCACTTGCCAGCGTAGGGATGTAGTCGGTCAAAAACTCGTGCTTTGATCCCTTGAAGTATCATGCCGTTAGCGCGTTCGACTTGTCCGTTACTCATGGGGTGTGCCACGGAAGCGTAACAAATTTTAATGCTGAAGTCTTCACAAAAGTCTTTAAATGCTCCGCTAGTGAATTGAGTGTCATTATCAGTAATGATCCGATTAGGTACCCCAAACCGATGCACAATGTTGATGAAAAAATCTCTAGCTTTATCTGCTGTGATCGTGATGACTGGTTTAGCCTCAATCCACTTGGAGAATTTGTCGATAACCACAAAGAGATGCGTGTAACCGCCGATTGCCCTTTTAAACGGGCCGACCATGTCAAGCCCCCAGACCGCAAACGGCCAGGACAACGGGATGGTTTGCAACTCTTGGGCTGGCAGATGAATTTGTCTGGCAAAAAATTGATAACCTTCGCATATCCGCACAATCTTATCAGCATCAGACACAGCTGTAGGCCAGAAAAAACCTTGCCGGTAAGCTATGCCGACAATTGTCCGTGCGGCGGCATGATTACTACAAATACCAGAATGTATATCCTTCAACAATTGTCTCCCTTCTTCCAAAGACACACAGCGCCGCAGTATTCCTGATGGACTTTTCTTGTATAACTCAGCCTCATGAATAATGTAAAGTCTGCTGCGTCTGGAAATCCGCTCGGCTTCATTTTTGTCTTGAGGGAGTTCTTGTTTGGTCAAAAAATTTATGAAAGGTTCTCTCCAGTCGGTTTCGATCATGCTTACGCCTTGAGTATCCATGGCTTCAATTGTTTCTTTTCTGGGTACGGTTGGTTCGTAAAGATGTTCTACGAACACATCAGAAGGGGTTGCTTCCCGTTTTGACCCAAAATTGGCCAGTCTGTCGTCCGCCTCATTGTTATGTCGGAGGACATGGGTGAGCTCGAGTCCATCAAATTTATTTTCCAACTTGCGTACCTCTTGTCGATAAGCGGTCATATTATCATCTAGGCATGACCACTCTTTCATGACTTGATTGACAACCAACTGAGAGTCTCCACGGACGATTAGTCGGCGAATACCTAGAGATATTGCAATCCTTAGTCCATGGAGTAGCGCCTCGTATTCCGCCACGTTATGGGACGCAGAAAAATTTATCCACAATACGTAGCTCAATCTTTCTCCAGTCGGGGAGATTAAAACAACCCCAGCTCCAGTGCCTGTAAGCCTCTTCGACCCATCAAAATGCATAGTCCAATATTCCATCTTTTCCTCTGGCATGTCTTCTTGGCACTCGGTCCACTCGGCAAGGAAATCAGCTAAAGCTTGTGACTTGATCGAAGTTCGTGGCTTGAACGATATGTCCAAAGACATCAACTCTAAGGCCCACTTCGCAATCCGTCCATTTTCTTCGCGATTATGAAGTATATCTCCGAGTGGAGACGATGTGACCACCGTGACCGAGTGACTTTGAAAGTAGTGAGATAATTTCCTGACTGTAATTAAGACACCATATAATAACTTTTAAACCTGAGGATAACTTGTCTTGGAGTCGGCTAAAACCTCGCTAACAAAATAAATTGGACGTTGGACTTTTTGAATATGGCCT